TGGCGACAATGTCTCTATACTTTGGGAATGTATATGAATATGTCCTCCTCAAGAATCCACCTTTCGTATTCCATTTTCAGAGTTTTTGAAAGTGTTTAACAGAGACGTTAGCACCTCGACGTCGGAGTACACAGAGTGAAGCAGAAACACTTGGGCCTTGCGAAAAGACTACAACTAAGTGTAAACAGGCCCCATTTCCGTTTCCGGTGGTGGAGGGATATTGACTATTCCAACAGAACTCAATGGGATTTACAAAATGCTAAATAAAACACTACAGGAACGTTTTTTCTTTATGAAACTTTTTTTGGAACGTCATTGAACAGCGCTGACGACCCGGTGAGTAGCATATTTAAAAAAAAGAACGTTTAAGGTTGTTTTAAGGACATTATCGGACATGCACAATGGAAGCCATTCTGAAGCAGCCAGAGGGGGATTCTACATGAGCCAAATAGCAGAGACAGGACCAATTGTCAAAATTTTGGTGTCGATCATTCGATTTCATCCTGGACACTACAGAAAATGGGCTAAAAGTGTTAAAAACCGGAATTCTCATTTAACGATTTTGAGAGAAATTTGGCTTTTATATTGTAAAGTCACTGAATACTGTTCCAGATATATGTACACAATATTCTAGCCTATTCCTTTAAATCATCTTGATTTTATAATAACTTTGCACTCAGTAAAGCAGCTTTTTTATAGCTGAATATTAACCTACAGCAGCATCCAAAAAGCCATCTTCAGTCCTACTCTGCCATCTAGAGTTTTATTTCTGTATTACAACTTAATATGACTTCTTTTTTTCCTGCAATATTTAAACTTTGCAAAACACCTGTCTCCACAAGCTACATTTTATATTTGCTGAATTACAGAATAATGACTATTGTTTTTTAGAAATCTAAATCCCCAGAAACTGAGGTTACTTGCTCCCAGATAATTCTGTATCCCTGAAATAGGCTCACTCACATTTTGATTTCAATTTAAACGTATTCTATGGTACTCTAGTGAATGTGATTCAGTGAAATAGTTAGGAATGTCTTGAGGACCACTAACATGTTAGACCGATGCAGGTGAGCGCCAGGGATCAATGTAGTAAAGACAGGTGGAAATCTGGCAGGAGACTACATGACCTACAGTGTTTAAACTGTATTTTGTCATTTAACTGGCTGATCAGTGGAGCAGTGGGTAGCACAGCTGCCTTGCAGCAAGAAGGTTCCAGATTTGAGTCCCGGACCACTGTTTTTCTGCATGGAGTTTGCATGCTCTCCCTGAACATTCTTGGGTTCTCTCTGGGTACTCCAGCTTCCTCCCACAGTTAAAAATGTTAGGTTTATTGGCTTCACAAAATTCCCCCTAGGTGTGAGTGTGAATGGATGTTTGTCCTGTTTGTCTCAGTGTTGCCCTACAATTGACTGGCAACCTGTCCAGGGTGTACCCCGCCCTCTCGCCCGTAGACAGCTGGAGATTGGAAAGGAAAATGGATGGATGTTTACACTGGGATCTGAAGGGAGTGTAGGTAGCAGGTGGAAAGGAGCCTTGAGCTGAGAAAGAAGGAATGAGAGAAGATATGATTCATATGCAGGGGCTGATTTAGGAAATTTGGGGCCTTTTTCTTGTTGTTTTCCTGTCTATGTTTTGTATTCAGATTACTTTTCATGCTGTCTCTAAAGGAATGAAAGATTTTTTTTCCAGCACTAAGCTCACTTAGCTGATTGCCTCTTCCTGTGTTTCCAAAAAGGCGACGATAAAAGTAAATAACCCAGTCCTTCTTTTCACTGTAGACAAGCCATGATCTACTTATCTGTTCTCCATTTTTCATTTGGATGAAATAATAGCTGCATGAATCATGACAGCAGACAAGATGGAGGAGAGCAGGAGGCGGACACAATTAAGATAAGCATTCTGATGGCATTTTAGCAAAAATGATTTTTATCAAAAAATGGGCACTAATAAGGAATAGTTGTATTAACCATATCTGTAGAGTTTGATGGGCCCCCAGGAACTTGTGGCCAAAGGTAACTGCCTATTCAATTAAATTCAGTTTATTATAACAAGCAGTTCTGCACTAAACAAGAGGGTTGCAGTAGTGACTATTGACAGCCTAGTGTTGGTTTAATGAGGCATCTTGAAGCGTTTCAACACATTGCCAAACTGTATTGATACTGTCTCACAGGATACCCACACCTGCTGGATCTTTAAAGACGCTACAGGCAGTTTATCTGACAGACTAAACTGAATTGATTCAGTTCAATTCAGTTTATTTCTATAGCGCCAATTCACAACACGTCATCTCAAGGCACTTTACAGTTCACCAGATCATACAGTCAAATTGATTCAGTTTTCTATCTAAGGAAAACCAGTTGATTGCATCGACTCATTGACTCGAAGGCAATCCCTGCCTGGTATTGCCTAATGGTAAATCCCCCCAGCTCATATGAAAAGGGGAGAGAGAGGAGTACACTTGTTCAGGAAAAAGTTCATAACTTTTCAATCGATCAGCTTTCTTTCTTTGCACATTTTAAAGGAGCAGAGATGGGCAAAGTGCTATTTCAATAAAATCAAACAAAAAGTTCATAACAGACAAACAAATAAAAAGCTTTAAAAACAGCTTTATTTTTATGGTTCCAGGACATTTAGGTTTAAAGGGGAAAAAAGCAGCAGATAAATTAGGACAGCAAGCATGAAGCAAAAATTATATTGATTTTTAATACGCCACTTGGAAAAATAAGCAAAATTACTGATATGGATTAAAGTTGGGAAACAGTGGCAGATTATATGGAAAGCAGAACCACAGGGGTGATTTTCAGTTTAAAATGTACAGAAAGCAGCTCCAATGAGAGGAAAGACAAGACAACAGCGAACAATATCATGTTGAGACAATTTAAGCAGTACATTACATTTATTTGGGAAACACAAAACAGGATTATGTGACAAATGTCATATGGAAGAAACAATTTTAAATGTCTTCACACTTAAATACAACGAGGAAAGATCAAATCTGGAGAAAGACTTAAGAGAAGAAGGAATTCATCAGTTAACTGTTCCTGTAATTTTTTGCCAGGAAACATTATTTTTATACCTCGTGCAGACAGTTTAAACAAGATATATAGACGCTCTCTGATCGAACTCTGACAATAATGGGCAGTAATGCTCCTAGCTGGCTCCCAACTGCCATGAAAACCCAAGATGAAGATGAAGATGGTGCAGCCTTAAGGCTGTAAGAGTGCGTAGAAGAACTTGGACAGAGCATGCGAAATATGGAGCTTTTATAGAGGAGGAAAAATGGAAAAGCAGAGAGAAGGTGGATGGAGATACGGTAGGAAGAATATGCAATGAAACATGGAGGCAGATGATCAGGTGTGGGCGAAAATAAAAAATTTAAAGTTTTTTTTTTTATGTTTTTTTATTTTCAGTTATAAAGTTTCTTTTTACAAGTTACGATTCCTAGACTTGGAGGTTATGTTTGTAGCTGGAGCTTATCTTTCTGGGGATGGATGGATTTTAACGATGTTTTTATCAGAGGTTTCCCTCATGCCAAATAATCAGTGATAATCCAAATCATAATCTGGATACAGGAATATTTTTTAATGATTATTTGACAGAATAAGCAGTTCTCCACTAAACAATAGTGTGGCAGTAGTGACTATTGACAGCCTAGTGTTGGTTTAATGAGGCATCTTGAAGCATTTCGACACATTGCCAAACTGTATTGATACTGTCTCACAGGATACAGACACCTGCTGGATCTTTAAAGACGCTACAGGCAGCTTATCTGACAGACCAAACTGAATTGATTCAGTTCAATTCAGATTATTTCTATAGCGCCAATTCAAAACACAAGTAATCTCAAGTGACTTTACAGTTCACCAGATCATCCAGTGAAATTGATTTAAAGTTTTCTATCTAATGAAAACCGGCTGATTGCGTCGACTCATTGATTCAAAGGCAATCCCTCACACTAAGCATGCTTGTAGCGACAGTGGAGAGGAAAAACTCCCTTTTAACAGGAAGAAACCTTCAGCAGAACCAGGCTCAGTGTGAGCGGCCATCTGCTGAGGCCGACTGGGGTTCAAGGAGACAGAAGCAGAGATACAAAAGTACTATGATAAACATATATCATAACATGAACATTTAGGGGAAAATGTGATTGATGACAAGGATTTTAAATCATATTTTTAAAACAATAGGGACATTAAAAAAGTAAACTAAGAGAAATTAACTTTGAATTCAAATTAAATTCAGATAAGTTGAGTGATAACTGAGAGGAAAAGTATGACACAACAAGAAAATTAAAATGAAAACATAATGGCTGAAATGTTCCTGTTCCTTTTAGGCTGCTCCAAAATTCTTGATAATTTTAATTATAAACCGCAAAAGATGAGACATTTTTTTAGCAGATGCATCATGATGACAGAAACATTTTTAAACAGTTTAGTGAGTCAGTCAGTTAGAAACAACTCCTGTATCGGTCACATGACTTTCTTGAAACGGCACACGCACCAATACTGTGTTTTGCTCTGTGGGCAACATGCATGCACCGATGCATCGGAGGTGCTGAGCCCATCACTACCACAGCCTCAGCATGGGACTCAAAAAGTTTGGAGGTATTTCACTGAAGACAAAAACAAAAAACAAAAAAAGAGAGGAAACATCTGTGGTTTTTTTTAGGATCATAAAAAACTTATGAACAGATTTTATGGACATTTTTACCCACGGTGCACCTCAAGGCAAGGAATTATTAATTTAATTTAGTAATGATGCAGATCAGCTATAGATGTGAGCCACAATTTGGGAAAGAATTTTCAGCTTGGTTGAGGTTGGCGTTCTCAGTGATTTTCTAGTTAGGAATTAAAAACATTGCTTTGTGTGTATCCTAAGCTGGAATACGAAAACTTATCAGCTGAAGTTATCAAAAATAAAATATATAAATATATATATATACCACTGCAACTTGAAGCATAAAAGCAAGACCAATGTGCTCCAATAATATCCATAAAAAAGTGTGCAGTTGTTAAAATTTCAGTTTATTTGCAAAAATAAAAAAAATGTCTTCAAACATAAATATTCTAGTGATTTATAAAATAATCTTTCCTCAAGTTTACTGAGGTCAGATCAGTGTTCTTGTGGAGCCGTGCGTCCTGCAGGGGTCTTTGTGCAGCGTAGGACATCAGGCGGTCAGAGCACAGAGCGGTATTTACAGGCAAACATCATCCACACTGCGCAGGCATTCTCAGGATACACAAAAACCCGGACACGAACGGCAAGCCTCACATGGTCGCCACGGCAACACACTATCTCTTCACAGAATGGAGACCTGTAAGATAGGAGAGTAGTTTATTAAAACAACTGTCAGGAGTCTGCGCTCACCTGCAGACATGGACACCACTTTAATTTTGAGCTTAGAATGAATTATTAGAAAAACTTCAAAAGTTCTAAGAACAGAATTGTGTGAACATGTGTAAAAAATCTTCTAGCCTTCATTGACTCTATACAGTCAAATATATATACACAAACACCAGAGTTTGGTTCAGTTTCCCCTGGACTTTATGGAAGGTCATATTACTGTTACAGTACAGCAGTTAATGTCAGGCTGGGTTAACTTTGGGTTTCTGCGAGAAGGTTGGGTTCTGCTACCAGACGTCATCAAAGGTGCTGTAACCTGAAGCCTTCCACAGAGATTAGAGAAAAACAACGCAAGCCTTTTTCATGCCATATTGAGGGATGTGGGGGGCATGGGATCAGAGATTTCATGAATGGTTTACGACTAAATTTGACTCTCAAAAATCCAATACCAAAAACGGCCAGAAGATGGCAAAAGTGCATCTATATCCTGTGTTGCTGTTAAGCATTCCAGGAGCACAGCCTGCAGAAGCAAGCGCCTAGTTCACCTAACTTCCTGCACCAGCTGCTAAATAGCTCGCCATCTCGCCCTGTCTGCTCCAGCAATGCCCAGCGCCATTTATATCAGAGACCTTTATCGATGGTGGTGACATCTTCCCCAGAGTTCATGAACTGCATTAGGCCCACTCCATGCAATTCCATTCTCTATATCCTTCGGTCTTTCTCTCCAAATACAAAGTTTTATTTATTTATTTTTTGACTTTTTACACGTCTCTCTGTTGAATGGAGCCGTTAACGGCACAAGGTGAATTTCCATGTAGAACTTCAGCACTGAACCACAATCTATCTGGCGACTTGAGCAAGAAACGAGAGGAGGAGGTACACGCGTTCCTAAGACCCGCCCCCTTCTTCTGATTGGCTAATGCTGTTAGTTTCAGAGTGCTCTTTTGCTACCATTAGCTGACAAATGCAAGAGGGATTTCGATTGTCTTATTTACGGTTAATTTATTTTCTAGTGATTTCTTTTACCCACAGGCAACCGCTACGAGCCGGAAATCCAGCCTGGGGCCAGAATACTTTAATCCCTGCTTCCATCTTTTTCTCTGACTTTGAGTTCCTTAGACAGATGGTCTGGAGCGGAGCAGAGTCACGGAGGATGTGGAATTTTGGGGTAACACTGTGGGAGGAAGTCAGAGTACCTGGAAAGAATCTACATAAGCATGGGGATAACATGCTGCAAGGCAACACTGCTACAAACTGCCCCACTGTGCAGCCCCCTAAACTTAACAAAACACTTTGACTTTTGCTTTGAGTAACACTAAGAAATAGCTGATTAGAGCAGAAGACCAGGGTGTTAGAGCAAGATCTGACCTGAGGCAGGTGGCGAAGGCTCTGCGAGCGTTGCGGTGCAGGAAGTGAATGGGGAACCCTTTGAAGGTGTGTCCGTCCGGCACGGCCCTCCTTACTGCGTCCTGGAACTCTTCGTTGCCACAGGAGACGCCGGTGCAGCGCTCCATTTCATAAGCCGACAGTGCCGAGGACAGCAGGTAGGAGAGGTGGTCGTCCCACACTGTGGTCAGATCAAGATCCTGGAGACCATGAACCAAAAAAAAATAAAAGTTATTCAACCATTAATTGGTCATATGATACTTAGAGGGATTACATCCAGTTTCCTGAGCCACACAGCTACAGCCTCCATTTTCTCTTTTTTTTTTTTCATTAATTTATCACAAACTGGGCAGGAAGTGTAGCAGATTTAGACAGAAAAGACATTCAGTTCAGTTTATTTCACATTGCTGTGATCTTTTTAAAGAGGGACTTTCCCGCATTATAAAAACTGGACTTATGGGGTTGGAGCATATATTGCACTGTTCCCGCTACCCTGCCATGAATTTCAGGCCCTGTGGTAAACTGGTAAATCTACTGCTAAACCACACCCTGTCCGCTACTGAGTTTTACCTTTCTATGCTCTGACACCAGGAAGCGCATCTCCAACTCCAAATGGTTGCTGGCCACAGCAGGATCCAGAGACGGAGCGCAGAGAGGAGGCAGAGGAGGTAAAGATGTGGTGGATCCTGGAGCACAGACAGACTTCAGAGCTTCTTCACTCATCGCCTTCCAGCGTGACGGATTCTAAAGGAAAAACACTTTGAAAATATCCTCACAGACCCAATCCTATTTTAGCTTGAAACAAGCTGTAAGTTCATGGACTGTTACAGATTGTGGTGGACATAAATGTAGCTGCCGTATCCACCAGGTTTGAGCAGCCAATGATCCTACCTGGAAGTCAAAGACACAAAGCTCCACAGCATCAGAAGGCTGGCAGTTAGCCAGGAAGGTCTGGTGGTTGAAGACGCAGCCCACGGTACGATAAGGGGCCGAGGATTTCGGTTGGGGGGCCAGAGGGGGAGCGTCTGGATCAATTGGTCGGTGCAGATATCTGATTACAAATACAGAAGTCAAATCATTAAAAAAAAAAAAAAAAAAGGATTTAAATTTACCACCACTTGGTTACAAATTTCCCTGCTAATTTCTTGTTCAGTAGCTCAGAAATATGGATAATGTTTGATGAAGGAAAACTGAACTTTGATAATTCAATTCAGTTTATTTCTTTAGCACCAATCCATGACACACGTCATCTCAGGGCACTTTACAGATCACCAGATCACACGGGGAAATTGATTCAAAGTTTTGTATCTAAGGAAAACCATCTGATTGCATCGACTCATTGACTCGAATGCAATCCCTCACACTAAGCATGCTTGTAGCGACAGTGGAGAGGAAAAACTCCCTTTGAACAGGAAGAAACCTCCAACAGAACCAGGCTTAGTGTGAGCGGCCATCTGCCGAGGCCGACTGGGGTTCAAGGAGACAGAAGCAGTCATAAAGAAAGAAGAAGAAATACAAAAGGCAACTATAGATCAGCTCCACATGCGGCCCCGTCAAGGAAACACAGCCAGGCAGACGAGCTCTGAGCCAGCTCCCATGTCAGAGGATGAAGAGAGCACATCCAGCCAGTCACAGTCAGAGAAACAGGGCTACACTGAAAAACAGGCCAATTTCCAACATCTAATTTGCTGCCTCACTGTATGCGGCTCACTTAGAGTGTAGTTATAAAAGAGCCAGCCTTAGAGAGTAAAGGTGGCAATAATGCATTTAGACCTGTGTTAAAGAAGCACAGATGAGGCTGCGTGAGTAAACGGCTTGTGTCTGCTTATGTCAGCTCTATGATGGCTGTTTCAAGGAATCTTAATAAAATATATCCAGCCATCCATCCATGCATGGATTCATATTTATATCAGCTTTATATTAAGAACAATAAAAGATTTCCTGAACGTGTTTTAATTTTGGACAAAGTGTAACCAGATCAAAAAGGTGCAACTGTTACATTTATAAAGAGATTCAATTTCAATCCAACCTGTGTGCTGTCAGGCTCTCCCAGAAAGTGATGCTTCCATCAGTACCGCGTGTCAGGACCCAGGCATGTGGACCACTCTTGGCCTTGGTACCCACACAGACATATGCATCCAGCCCAAAGCCCAGCAGAAGGCTGCAGAGCAGAGTGGCATGGTCCTCACAGTCTCCCTGTGGTATGACAAACAGTGATGTTTTGGGATCTGTGGGGACTTGTAAATATTAAAGCCACAACATCTTCTTGCTCTCTGTAATAGACTTAGAGCCTGATCAAACCCTTCAAATAAGAGGCACTAAATTGCATATACAATTTTTTTTTTTTGCACATACAATAGGTTTTGCACTGTTTGTGGTCTACCAAGATTGCTACGCACATTTAAGACATACAAACAAGGTTTGTTTCAAAAAAGTCACACAAAAAAAACAATCCATGGACTTTACTTCCAAGTTTAAAGACGTTTCACTTCCCATCCAGGAAACCTTTTCAATTTGAATGTCAGAAATAGTGTTGAGTTGCAGTAGAGTTACAGTAGCTTTTGCTTAGAAAACATGCAAATTGAAACGGGTGAATGGGTCCACCCCTTTGGTATAGGGGGTCGTTTGGGTTCTTTGGTTAGCTTCCATTGCCCTATACCTGTCTATGTCTCTGAAAGTGGATCGTAAAGGGAATTGTTGGCCATTGCAGGCTAATAAAAGGAGCAAAACGACTCCCACTCCAAAGGAGTTTCATCCATTTCAATTATAGGATGTGCAAACAGGTGCGCAGAGAAATACCTAGAAGAAAACTAAGGGGAAGGAAAGTGACACAAGGGGGCAACGGAGAGTAACTGAAAAAAACAATAGAGCTGGGAACCAATATGACAAAAGGAAAAATAAAACAATGACCAAGGGAAAAGTAAACTATGGGAAACAGACTTGGTAAAGTAGAAAACTAATGTGCCATGGAGGAGCATAATGTATAGATTACAGAAACAACAAATATAACAAACTAGACGATAAATAAATAAATACCAAAAACACAAAAGAGATAACTGAAAAAACTAAAATGGAGGAACAAAACAAAAAAATAAAAAAATGATATAAATCCTAAAAACAAGACAGAATAACATAAATTCAAGCGTAACTGAAAACCCAAAGTGAAAACTAAACAGGACCAAGGAGTCCAGATGGGCAGATCAGATGACCTCCTTTCAGATTCAGTAATCATCCATTTACGAAACAAGAATAATTTTCCTTTACGCTGAAATTAAATTCTCGGTTTTCCTTTGAGCCTCTGCAGACGGGATGATCAGAATATTTGAGTGTTTTCCTCGAAAAATTACAGCTCAAGGTTTTTGCTGCTGAAAACTAGAAAACTAGCTTCCTGAATTACTGGGACTGATTTTCTGAATGCTACGTATACTGCTTCATCTAAACTAACTTACTGCTGAATTAAAAGCAAAATATTTCCTTAGCTGTGAGGAAACAATAGATTAACACTGACCTCTGTGCTGATAAAATAGAATGAAACGCTGCTTATAATCGATTTAGACACAAAGGATGCCATTTTAACAGGCTAAACTAATTTATCACTTTTCCACCTCAGTATGTAAGGAGACAACAATATCTCAGAAGGAAAGGAAATCAGTTCTAATGTTGTCAAATTAGCTTAAACAGTAGAATGCTTTAATATAACGTGTGCAACTTTTCCAGTAAAAAGGTTTTTTAGTAGGGAGCTGCTGCTTTGTGTGCTGGCTTTGGCTGTGGGCAAGTCAGAATGATAGATGTTCCCCAGAAGTGCTACTATGGATGGTAGCATCAGAACAGGCTGCAGTCTGATGAGGCTAAATTAATTTTCCCTGAAATGAAACTCATAAATCAAAGCTGACAAGGGCCACTTTGTAGGAATTGTGCTGTGTCTATCCTGCCAGGCTCTTACTGAGAAGCACTGAGCATTCATCCTGTGGAGGTCTAGGAAATTCCCCGCTATCAAATGCAGCAGCCAGTCAACTCTAGACTAATCTTTTTTCCTCAGAAATAGGATGATCCACCATATTTAGAACAGGGGTGTGAGTGGAGACAGGTTAGCAGAGTTTGTGAGGCTTTCCAGATACTGGAACGTCGTTCCAGGTTTAAGGACAGGATGATTTAGAAAAAAAAGTACAGTTAAATCAATCACACTACGGGAATAAAATCATAAAATTATGAGAATAAAATCATAGCATTATGAGAATAAAGTTATAAAACTATGAGAATAAAGTCGTAATACTACGAGAATAAAGTCATAAAATTACGAGAAAATCATAATATTAGGAGAATAAAGTCCAAATATTACGATAATAAAGTTGTATTTTATGAAAACTCTTACAAGAAGCACCGTCTTCCCCAAAATGAGGAATGTGGAGCATCATGTGAAGTTACACTGGAAAAAATCAAAATCTAGATAAGTCATTTTTTCTTAAAATAAGTGCATTTGTTCTTGGATTGAGGAAGCAAAAGAGACATTTTGCAAATGGAACAGGACAATTTAGACTAAAATAAAAAAAACATAATTGCATTGTATTATTTAAAGTGCATATGATCTAAATATATTATTTTAAGAGTAAAAATACTCATTCCATTGGCAAACTATCTCATTTACCTACTGAAATTAATGGCAAATACGCTTAATTTAAGAAATGTTTACTTATTTCAAGATCGTTTTTCCAGTGTATACTTTGGCTCTGGTTTGACAACTAAGGAAATCTTTTAGCACCAGCATCAAATTCTGAACTTTATTGACCTCACATTGGAGAAATTTATCTCTGCATTTAACCTATCCCCTTGGTGAGCAGTGGGCTGCCTTTGTGCGACGCCCGAGGAGCAGTGTGGGGTTAATTGGGCAGAATGTCAAAGTGAACTCAGGTTGCTGATTGGTGGAGCTGGTCGGCCGTCACATGCTGGTCGGAGCTCCAAGCTTTCTCTCTGAAACGGGTTGTAGTATGATGACTTCATTCTCGTAACATTACAATATTTATTCTCAAACTAAAAAAAAAATGTTTTAATCTCTAGCCTGGCCCGTTTTTCAACAATTTTCCAAAAAAGAGGAAATGAAATAGCAATCTCACTAAATATGTTTATATTTATCTGTCATTTTTATTTCAAATTGTCTAGATGTGTTTTGCTTTACATCTTCTACATTATAACAGAATTTCAAGATACTCCTGATTTTGAAGGCCAACATAATCAGGGTTTATACAGAAATTAGTAACTCTAATTCAATGCTTTTTAATGCTCTTTGAAATTATTATAATGCCATAAACAAGTACCCATGACGATAAAGAGAGAGACTCTAAAAATATCTATGTATTCTAAAGGGCCTTGAGAAGATGTTAAGTCATAGCACTGAAAGTGAAATGGAACTTGGCTCGAAATATTTGAAAACAGTAGATACTAAAACACATGCTACAAAAATGACTATGTATGGAAAATGCTACCAAACATGGTACATATGGTACAAAGGATATATTTCTTTTTTAGAAAAGTGGAATAATGCATGAGTCTCAGTTGGAGTATTAGATTTTCTTAGCATTGCAGCCATAAGTGTGCCAAGATTTATTTTCCACAGGTGAAAGATTCGGCTATTTCTGAATCCTGAAAGATTGCCTGAAACAATTTGGATACACCTTCATTAGAAGCACATGAGTGGTGTTGAAAGGCTATGTTCACGCACCAGAGCACCTCCGCATGCAGTGTTGTATTGAATCCAAATATTGTTTGGAATGAAGGAATGAAAGATTTTTTTCCCATCATTACGCTTTGCGTTTCCAAAAAGGCGAAGTGAAAAGTAAATAACCCAGTCCTTCTTTTCACTGTAGACAAGTCATGATCTGCTTATCTGTTCTCCATTTTTCATGTGGATGAAATAATAGCTGCATGAATCATGACAGTTGATAAGATAGAGGAGAGCAGGACGCGGGGTTACCAATCTACTTGCTCTGGAGAGCAGAGTTTGGTGCTTTTATATGTTGATGCCAGTAGCAGAAAAAAGTTTGGCGCTAGGCACTTTTTTGAAATAACAGCGCCAGAGGGGTCTGAAAAGTGGCTAAACATAGGGTTAATATTATAAGCGTTCTTTATTTTTTTAAGCATTTTTTTTTATGTATTTATCAAGGCTGCAATTTAAAAAACTGAATTCTCCATAGCTGTTTTAAACTGAATCTCTTTCTCTTTGTTTACATTCGTGTATACAAAAGGACAAAATAAATCTGTCTATAGCCCCATTTATACTACCCTTGAAAAACCGATCCATGCCGAGACCGGTCCGAGCTGACGACCGTTTACACATCACGCTATCTCGGTTCCTCGTCTCCTCGCCTCCTAGTGACAATCTGTGGTATTGCTGCCAGTATTAAGGGAGGAAATCAAGCAGTTTGTTGGCGGTAATGCACCAAAAGTTGTTTGCCAACCGCCATAAAACACAAGAAGAAGACGACAAAGAAGGATGGAATCAAGCAAATTAAAATGGTGGCGGCCATCACATTCAGAAAGTTAATCTTGATTATTATTGCTGTACTTCGGTGTTATTATTTAAAATGCCATTATTTAAAATGTTGCGTGGAGAAGATTTTGATTGTTGTTTATAGTTGAAGAAGAAGTCGTTCTTCTTCTTCTGTTTCCGGAGGGGCATTACCGCCAACTACTGGAATGGAGTGTGAATCGCGATGTGCAGCCAGACGGAGATGACGCGTTCTGCTCATGCGCTCTTGTTATCAGAAAACCGAGCCAGGGAAAAACCAAGCTGAGCCCACCTCTGGAACTGGTCTGCAGTTAGCTCGGTCCGGTTGTGTCTCGCTCGGTTCAGTTCAGTTTGCTTTCCATTTACACACGATAAGTTATCTCAGTTACTGAGCTCGGCATGGTTTTTCAAGGGTAGTGTAAATGGGGTATATGTCTCTATGTTCTGATGGCATTTTGGCGTATGGATTTTCATGAAAAACATAATGTGCACAAATAAGGAATAGTTGTATTAACTATACATGTAAACAGAGTTCTTTGCCCCCTTTGGTCTAGAAGGCTTACAGCCGTACATGTTTGAGCCCTTGCCTCTCAACGCTGCCAGTTCTGTTAGCTCTGCGCCTGCCGAAGTCACTCACCTTCCCTCTACACAGAAAAGCCATCAGTGTGCACCACTGCTCCTGCTTGCCCCCTCCTCCCACCACCGGGGCTCGCTCATGGGCGAGAAGGCTGACGAACCGGGCGGCCTGTCTTGGGCTCTCCAGCAGGCGGCCGGCCCGTAGGACACGTACGTAGGAACACACTGGCCTGTTCACCCCGTTCTCATCCTGTGAAAAGCACAGAAAAACATTTCAGGAGTATAGAAATGAAAAGGGAAGGCCTCAACTATTTAGGGACAATGATAAGAAAAGATGACAACTTTTCCCTTATTTTGTTTGTATTATTGACCTCCAGAAAAAAAAAGTGGGTACAGAATCAAAGGTCAAATGGATCAAATACAAGAATACCTTAAAAAGAGGGAAGGATATAAGAAAACAAAGTTCTTTGAATTCTAAAGGGAAGCCAAACCTGAGCAAAGATCTTGACCAGTTTGGACTGGTGAGACGATCGGATCTCCAGGAACTCTCTCCACCACTGTTTGGCGTAAACCAGGAAGAGCCTTTCCTTCTCTGCCGTTCTCTGCCTCTCCAGTGATTGCTAAAAGCAGAGTTCGGTGACATCAGCATCCCCATTCAGTGTGTTCATATTTCACAGGACCTCATTGATGGCTTTTCCTGGGAGGAACGGCTCTGACAGCAGTAATGGAATTCTGTGGTAATAATTCCTCATGTTCTCACAGCGGCTAAGCTCATTCAGAAATAAAGGAAATAAATAAACCACAAGTACAAGGAAGTCTCTTAGTCACTGAGACAGAAAGTCTGGAGCGGCTGATGCCGATAAAATAATCTAGATGGACCAAATGAGGTCTTTTAACGGCTCATATCAAAGTAGCATGTTTCTTTCCTTAAACATTTATCATAAACCTTTATTAAATGTTGTACTTATTATCCACACTGGATTATCTCAGATTATTATACTGGTTATTGTGAAAGATAATCCATCATAACATTTTAAGTTTATCATTAGAAACTCTTCTTGAGCAAGTCGTATTTTTAGAATTGATGCCCAGATGAGAAACAGAGAGGAAACAAAATTGGCATACTTTACTATTTCTGGTCATTGCAATATTAACTAAAAATATCTTGATCATAGATTTTTGACTATAGATCAAGTCCATCACCCCGTTCTACAGGTCCTGCTGCTCTTACCTGTGTACTGATGATATCGGCGCTCAGAGTCTCTTGGAGAGGAGGGAAGAGCTCCAGGCTGACGGTCAAAATGCCTGCAGGGATTTTACTCTCACTACCTGGTGACACACAATCATTTCACTCAAAGCTGTATGTTCATCATATCACAGGAGACGACACAGAAGCAAATCCCACTCTATGCTGCAAGTTCTATTTCATCAAAAAATACTTTAAACTAAACCCAAATATTGGACAGATGGCGTAGCTACATACAGCTCGAGGCAAACTTTCATAGATGTGCCGTTTAAAGTCTAAAGGTTCTACATGCTGTTTTTCTAAGCCTTCTAAGTCAACTACAAACATATGATGATGAAATGTTGCATTTGAAACTACAGAATGTTAATTTGTTATGTAATATTATGCTACGTGATTTGAACAGCAGAAGCAGAGGGTTTACATGCAAAGTCAATTGTTGAGGCGCATCAGAAGGTCCTGAGCTCATGAGCTTCTGAGGCTGGTAATGCGCTGATGGAAAAATTTAATTTTTGCTGCCCGACGCACGAGCTGGCAGGGAGACCGTCTCAGCGCTGCTGATGCAGAGCGCTATGATCACTCCTCTGAAATAGTTTATTAACAACTAAACTAAGGATAAGTGTCAAAATCTGCCTGCAAAATATGTTTGTTTTTATTATTCTGGTTCCTGCAGTTTGTACCACATACAGCCGTCACAAACAACAGCTGAAAAACCCCAAGAGGCGACCAACCTGAGGCAGCTGCTGCTGGGGGATTCCCAGTGACAGCGCACTGCCGGTATGTGGGGGTCTCAGCGCCTCTGACTGAAATATTTTAAAGGCGGGATCGTAATCTTGATTAACTGACTGAACAGATGGTGTTTGGAGGTGGACATTCTTGCATAAAAATTTTTAAAACTACTTTCTTATTTTCTTATTACAGCAAATATAGCAAACAGTGTCTATAGAAAATATATTAGGGGTGGAACGGTTCACAAAATCCACGGTTCGGTTCACGGTTTCATGGTCACGGTTTTTGGTTTGGTTCGGTATATGTTGATTGTTAGCATGACATGTTGGTCATGTTGCTGTTAGCATAAATAACACGTGTTGCACAATGTTGCACACTGTGGCACTTAGATCCACAACTTTCTTTCCGCCGTCATCGTAGGTCACTCTAAATGCAAAGCAGACCTATAAAGTGCTGCTGGCGTGTCTTCCAACTCCTGTTCATTCCCACTCGCCATACCCACACAATTCTCCACAACAACAGATTTTTTTCTGCTACACCCGGCTACGCTGCTTCACTTCTTCTTCTTCTTGTTTACTACTGGTGGTTGGCTTTGGTCGCAGTACCGCCACCTTCTGCTCTGGAGTGTAAACGCTTCGCCTATGAGAAAAAGGAGCAGAGCACGAACCGAACGCAACACACGCGAACCGAACGCTTCAGACGGTTTTCATAAACCGTTCCATCCCTGATAGATAGATATATATATATATATATATATATATATATATATATATATATATATCACAATATATATATATATATATATATATATATATATCACACAGCAAAATCCTTCATCGTCTTTACCATTCCTTGTTCCTTGAATTCCTTGTCCAGCCACTTTTGCTGAAATTGGCATTTTTCCCCTGATTCTCTAGCTTTTTCTCCACCTCAGGTTTCTTTTCCAAACATACGGCTTTTACGATCAACCGGAAGCAGTTCTGCGCAGTTATAAATCGCAATATGAAATATCTAATGAAATTGTTTTTATAAACTTTTTCTTTTTTTCAAATAAAGCATTTTAAATGCCACGATAATCTCATTTGTTGAATTTTAATGACAATTAAGGCCTTAATTAAAAAAATAATGTTTGATTGATTATTAATGACCCGTGGAAACCCTGGCAAAGCCACTCGCTGCCATTGAACACAGGAGCAGCTCAAGCATCAGATGCATCTGTAAACACAAGAGCGGCTGCAGCGTGGTATCAAACCACATTTGGTGATTAGAGTCTTCTTTAGGAAGGCTGGACAAAGTCTGAGACCTCCCACAGAAAAACACATTTTCACTACTTTGACATTAGCTGAAAAAGGAATAGTTGCAGTCACTCCTGCAGGCCAGGTGCTAAAGGTGGCTTCAACAGGCTGGGCCACGCGTTTCCCAGGGAGACAGGGAGTGGCTGCTGCTTGTCGCTTAATCTGCAGGAACCAAGAAATTTTTTCCAGTTCCTGAGGTCACAAGAGACAGAACACAGAAAAACTAATTTGCCTCTTGGTTAATACATACTGATTAATCCAGATGTGCATGACCTCAGTAACCGTGACGACATTGGCCAGACACACCTGGATTAATCAGTGTCTCCGGTTATGAAAGATGGGAAAGAAGTAGTGGAGTTGGTCATTGGACTCTTCCTAACAAAAAACTCTGATCCAAATCCTGAAAAATCACAAAAAAAGGATCTAAGACACAATTTGAAGGAAAATCTCGGTGCAGACAAGCGAGAAGCCCCAAGACCTGGCTTCAAGAACAGATCCTTTTGTTCTCTGAGTGGTGAGAATGAGAAAAACCCGCCTAGCTTCTCATCACAGGGAGAAACTGGGTTTTTATAAAGGACTGGCATTATCACATAATAAAAATCTTAAAAAATACTTTTTATGGCTTTAGTGCAAAAACATGAAGAACGATGCAGTTTTACACATTATCTTATTTCATCATCATCCAGTGATGCTCACCGACTCCCATCAGCTCTACAGGGAAACATGTCTTGCAACTGGGCGAGCTGAGGACTCTCCTCCAGTCCAGAAAGTGAGAGGAGACAAGCGTTGTTTCACTGGAAGTGTCCGTCTTGATCAGCACAAAGTGAACTGGATCACACATAGACAGCATGGTCGTTGCATCTACCATCTTGCTTCCATCTCCTGCAACAACAGGAACAAATGCCAGAAAACAAAAAAAAACTGAGACAGACATCTGATGATTGATTCCAGTAAAGGTGGTTTCCTCTTACCAACGGCATCCCTGTGGATCTCTAGAAGGAAGCCTTCCTTCAGGTCAGGATCACATGCACAGGGAACTGGTTTGGAGCGAAACCTCTGGTTGCGGAAGTGCAGGTAGAGTGTAAACGTAGAACACACCTGACCAGGTAAAGGCTCCGATTCCTGGAGGTGCTCGAGAAAGGCCTTACCTCCAAGTACTTGAAGATAAAGGTATCGCCTTGATGGATCAAGATTAGCTTAGATCAAATCAAAACAAATGACAAAGTCTGTTAAAACACAGATGAGGGGAGCAGCTCCATTCATTTAGCTCATGTATTATGAGTCATGCTGCTTACTTCTCTTTAGATGAGTCCTATCCTGGTCAACATTATGGGCAGCAGGCTTGGGAGGAGATTCTGCTTCTATATTTGTAGCATTTTGCTACCATAAAAAGTGAGAAACGGTCAGTGGTATTCAGCATGACAGAAACTTTAAATAAAGTCTCCACAATAGTAGCAAAAATATTTAGAGCAGTTATCAATGTCTACAGTTGCAGGGAGATTAACTGGCCAGTAGGAGTTAGGGGGAATTCCGTTAATCAGTTGTATAATTTTAAGGCATAAAAGAAATGTTTTACATTGTTTGTAGGCAGAGATGTCAAGTTACAAAGTACAAATACTTTGTTATCTCACTTAGGCAGAAATATTGGTTATCTATACTAACTGGAATTATTATTTTTTTGTACAACTTTTTACTTCTACTTACATTTTTTTATTATTATCTCTACTTTCTACTCCTTACATTTTAAAAATAAGCTTGTTAGTCTTTTTTTAATTTAAGTACATTTTCATTGCAGCCTGTTAGAATAAAGAAAAAAAAAAATTTCAGAATTGTGGAAAATGTTCCTTTAATGCATTTGCACAGCAACCAGTATAAGGTTTAAAGCATCTGTCCTTAAAGGAATAGTACACCCAAAACATGATTAGCCTTCATTTTCTACTCACCCCCATGCTGAACAACACTCTGGAGTACTTTTTTGATATCTCAAATGCATCTGGAGATCTGGGAGGTTTCTTGCTGTCTGCTGACATTCAAATAATGGAGGTCTATGGTGCCCAAGGCAGAAAGGTCCATAAAAGTCCACAAAAAACGTGTCAATATTCCTCCATACTGCTCGTCCAATGTATTCCAAGTGTCCTGAGTGGGTAGCATCCAGAATTTACTCGAAACGAAGTCATTTAGAATGTTTTTAGAGCATAAACAGTAGTGTATAGGATTTCCTAAAAGCGCGCACCTGCGCGTTCACGACGCGAGTTCGCGAGTCTACGGAAACCGCGGCAGACCAAACCAGATGAAAGTGCGCATTCAGCATCTGCTCTGCCAATAATGGAAACGTAGAAGAAGAAATGTGCTGTTTACCTGTGCAAAGAAAGAAACAACGAAAGAAAAATGTCTGAGGACTTCAGTGTTGAGGAAGAGCATGAGTTCTTTGCCGAGCTGAATGCGCACTTTCATCTGGTTTGGTCTGCCGCGGTTTCTGTAGACTCGCAAACTCGCAGGCGCGGACTTTTAGGAAATCCTAAGTAATCCTCGAGTAAATTCTGGATGCTACCCACTCAGGACACTTGGAATACATTGGACGAGCAGTATGGAGGAATATTGACACGTTTTTTGTGGACTTTTATGGACCTTTCTGCCTCGGGCACCATAGACCTCCATTATTTGAATGTCAGCAGACAGCAAGAAGCCTCCCAGATCTCCAGATGCATTTGAGATATCAAAAAAGTACTCCAGACTGTTGTTCAGCATGGGGGTGAGTAGAAAATGAAGGCTAATCATGTTTTGGGTGTACTATTCCTTTAACATTTGTTATGCATTACTTTACTTTTATAATTATAAAATAGTTTTAATAATTATACTTTTACACTTTAATTCAGTAAATAGCTTAAGTTGATACTCTAACTTCTATAAAGTGATTTTTAAACAGAAGAATTTATTCTTGAGTAATAAATATAGGAGAAAAAGTAGCCTCGGTGGCTACATGTTGAAGGTAAAGCTTTAAGCAGAGCTTTGCTCTCATAGATCATATTTTAGAAATGGAACTTTAACTTCAGCTCACAGTAAATTTTTAATTGTTTAATGTTGTCAATATTTTAATACCGTGTGGATAAGTAGTTTTGACTATTCAATGGAAGAAACTGTGCTTCAATTAATGCTCCTGCACAGTTAACACTTCGCATACCCCTTACAAATGGAGTTCTTATAGAAGCATTTTGGTTATTTTTCCTAATATATTTGGGCAGGTTGGCATTTCTTGTTATTACATTGACATTAGTTTTTGACGTAACAAAATAATTTTTTTATGTTACACAGGTAAAAAGGTTTGTCTTGGATTCCAATAACAGTATTGGTTTGAAATTTTGACTTTAAAGCATTTCACTGAGTGTCCTATGAAGGGTTAAACACCCTGTAATTAACTCAGTTTTGATGGAATCCAACCAATAGACTACTGAAGTCTCAGCTAAGTGAGTTTAAAGTCTGGTGGTAAACCTGGGTAAAGTGGAGGTCTTTCATCACGTTGTCGATGATGCCTCTTCGTTGGAGAGCTTGAACAAAGTCTGCCTCAGACAGATGTTGATGCCCTGAGCCTTGATCATCCTTTATAGTCTCTGCCAGCACCTCTCGGATCTTCCCGTGGATGTCCATCTGAGAAGCAAGACAAACGTCAACATTTTTATTTCTGCTCTGGGAAAATGACATGGAAAGAAGAACGGAGGAAAATGATAGAGCTTTATTACAGGTGATCTGCTGTACGGCGACGTTTCATCATGAAAGCATCTATAAAACCTGACTAAGCAGTATTAGGTGTCATATTTTACACATCCATGTTTTGATAATGGAAAATAAAATAAAAAAATGTCTTTCTACTAAACTTAAACCTTAGTTAATCCTTAATCTAGTTTTTGTGCCAAAAATGTAAATACTTCCTAAATTATAGCGTGCTCTTGTTTTCACAGTAAAATACATAAAAGCTAAATTTTCCAGGGTTTTCTCCCCCTGGAATCAAATGAACTGCTAACTCCATTTCAGTGCAATCGTATCCTCAGCGCAGGTCAGGCTGTGAGAATCCAGCAGATGTCTGATAACTGCCACTTCTTCCAAGTGCCAGAGAAAGATCATCCATTTCCCATCACATCCCACATTTAAGACGACGATTTATTCGATAAGCATCTCCAGCAGACTCAAGTGGAGGCCTCTCCAACTGCCTGGATCAACAACTAACTGTCAAACAGACCAGTTTGAAGTCTAAAGGATTATGTGTCGATCAGGTGGTCGGCAGCTCAGGGGACATTATTATTCTCCTCATTTTCACCCTGAACACCTTCAGCTGGGCCGGGAATCGCTGAGTAAGCTAATAAAGACGGGTGCTCTGATCTGAGGACAACTCTGGGGATTATTTGTCATAAAATAAAGGATATAATAAAAAAAAAAAAAGCCCAGAGCAGCCTGCCTCTGAAAGCTCCCACAGCCTCTCAATATCCACCTAATTTTGGGAAATTTGCCTATTTTGCATACCCAAATGGAAAAGCAAATAACTTAGGAACTGGAAGCCCAAATTACATGTATGATACATTATTTGAAAGGTAACACCATCTAGTTTCTGAATATATAAATGAAAAATGGGTGAATAAAACACAGCCCAAGCTGCATCAGTTCAAACATGACTCAAGGTTGTTTTTTTTATTCTAAAAAATAATAGGTATTTTTTGAACAGCAGTAATAACGACATGCTTGCTTGTTGTGGCGGTCATGTTTACATTTTGACACGCTGCCATATCTGTATTAATTGGGCTTTAGTGCTCACTATCACCAAATACCTGTAAAGGGGTATCAGATGTGGTGAAATAATCGTTTTATCGGTTGATTCCAAAAGAAAGCAAGCAGCCAGTTAGTGAAGCCTTTCAGACATCAACACATATTTAATAAGCAGCAGATTAGTCTTCAGTTTAGAAGGGTTTTATAGAATTAACTCAGCATTGGGGGAAAGAAGCATCAACCTGCACAAAAGTAAAGATTTTTAGACCAAATTGCAGCCCTCCTTCTAACATATAAAGCCTTAAATGGCCAAGCTCCATCTGATATCAGAGATCTGATTGTTCCTTATGTTCCTAACAGAGCACTTCGCTCTCAATCTGCAGGTTTACTAGTGGTTCCGAGAATTTCTAAAAGTAGAATGGGAGGCAGATCTGTTAGTTATCAGGCTCCTCTCCTGTGGAACCAACTACCAGTTTTAGTCCGTGAGGCAGACACCCTGTCTACTTTTAAGGCTAGGCTTAAAACTTTCCTTTTTGATAAAGCTTATAGTTAGAGTGGCTCAGGTTATCCTGAACTATCTCTATAGTTATGCTGCTATAGGCTTAGACTGCTGGAGGACATAGGGACCCCTATTTCATCATTTTATCTCTTTTCTCCTAATCTACAGAACATGTTAGTTCAATCTCTAACGCTCTGCTCTCTCGGCTTTTTCTCATAGTAGCTTCATCTGATCTGTTCCTGTTTGGCTGTGACTCCATCAAGAGAGAAATATCAGCTGTGCTGCTGCCATTAACACCTTTGTTTATAGATGTTGGAGATCTGCCTGTTTTTCAGTGTGGTCCTGTTTCTCTGACTGACTAACTGGATGTGCTCTCTTCATCCTCTGACATGGGAGTTAGCTCAGAGCTCGTCTGCCTGGCTGTGCGTTTCCTGGACGGGGCCGCCTTTTACAGTTGCTTTATGTTTCTCTGCCCATATAAAACAAGGACCACCAGACTGAATGACTGCCGTCTTGTGCTGACCCTCTTTAAATCCATTACTGGATCTGATACAGAGTCAGCAGGTCTGTAGATGATTGGGCAAACATGGGCTTCACTATTTTCTGCAGCAGCAGGACTCCTGAAGAACCTCCACCGAGATGCTGTTCGTTGATTTCAGCTCTGCTCTCAATAATATCATGTCAGCCCTGCTGTAGGACAAGCTCTCGCAGCTGAAGGTGCCTGATGCACTCACCAAGAAGGCCAAGCAGAGGATGTACTACCTGTATTAGCTGAGGTAGTTCAGCCATGCCCTTCTACCCACCACCAGAGAATAGAGCAGGCTGCAGGGTATTGCTCACTCTATAAAGAGAGGACTTCCTTCAGGAACTGTAAGGTGAGGAGAAAAGCTTGCAGCTGCCTTTCTACCCTGAACACTAACAGCTTCAGGCTCTGCCATCAGAATCTAAATGTTTTGCAAACGGGTTCTGGGTTCCAGGTGTTGATGTGGAGGAGATTAAGGGGGATCTGGGTTCCTTAAAAAACTGTTTTCTAGAAGATTTGCACTGATCATTTCTATTCTAACAATAAGAAAAATCTCAACTGTTTAATCCAAATGATAGTTTTCAGATCAGATTTATGTCCAAATGTATGTTTGCTTGTCAATATGTAGCACCTTATGACCTAAACAAATCCCTCATACATGTAAAACACAACATGCAAGCCTCTTTTCCTGACCTTCCATCTGAAGGAAAAACAACCATGGGGTTTCAATGCTGCAGACTGAGGGGGAACTATTTTATGGGGTAATAATGTACAGTATTAGAATTAAAACATCCTGAAAAACTAACTTCTTCCAAAAATCCAGAAAGAATAAGTTTTGTTCCTTGTGGATTTTCAAAGACCATGAACCATCGCTGTCAAAAGGCTGAAAGATCATAGATCAGATCATCTGTAGGTAAACTTCACAGATCTGAGCTTTATAGAGAACATGTGTCCAGATTTCAGAAAGCAGGTGACAAATAGCAGAATAAATCAAATGAAAGATTTTGAATAAACTGGATTTAAACTCTGAATTTCTTCAATGTGCTTTGAAAATGTAATTAAAATATAACCATCATTTTACCCAGACCTGTGCAAATATATCATAAGCAGAACATAACAGTAGATTTATGCAATGATAGAAAAAGTAGGCTAATACGGTTCACCGTGCTGTCATTAAAAGATAAATAAGTACAGGTATAAGTTTATTATATTCTGTGATCAGTGGACATACGATCGACTCAAAACGTTCCTCATACAACCGTCCCCATTAGAGAATATTAAATACTTATAAATAATATACCGCATGATGATAAAGAAGACTGATGCTAACTCACCTTCAGCAGATGGTTTTGTATTATCTGCTTTAACTCGGAAGCTTTTTCTGGAGGTAAACACATTATGGTTGCTTAGCTTTAGCGACAAGCAAAGCAACTAAAAATACATCTATGCTTTCCTGTTCAAGCTGTACTTGATATTTGTAAACACTGGAAACCTCCTGGCACCTTGTTTGCCTCGAAAACCAACTGCCAGTTTTAAACTTTGGGGAAAGGGGAAGCGGTGAGACGTCCATGATAATGCCTGAAAGAAAAGGGAAACAACATAATTAAAAAGTTTATACATTGTTATTTAAAATATCTAAATACTCCAGTTAAAGCTATTAGTCTACCTTTAATAGAAAAATAAAAGTTTTAATAAAAAAAATAATAATTTAGAACAGTAGAATGTATTCAGGTTTCACATTGGTCGCATGGGTGTCTTTACCCATAGCGACTACTAGCAAAAGGACCCTTTCATTAGAAAATTTGTAGTTCAAAAGAAATGATGTTCTGTAGTTTGTTAATGCGGCCCCGGAGGATTGCATGTGGATGGTCGTTTGGTGCATGGCGCGTGTTTTGAAGCTGCTTATGGAGAAATGTCTTGGGCCGTGAGTAGTGAGGAAACAGGAAGCGATTCTTGTGGGATGGAAGAGGGAAATAGTGACAATGAAGGTTGGAAGATAGCAACATCAAAAAATGAGAAAAAGCGGAAAAAACAGAGATCAGTTCAAGGGGAATCTAGTTCAGAACAATCCAGTGATGATCATTCCATACATTCCACAGCACAACAAAATGAATTCAAAGTCATATTCAAAGTCGTTAATCAGGCAGACTCTTTTACAAATTGGAATCCGGTTCACTTAACAAAAACCATCAATAAACTTGTCGGAGAAGTCAGAGGTGCCAGAATTCTGTACAGTGGAGACCTGCTAATTAACTGCAGAGACAGCGCCCAGCAAGGCAAAGCAATACGGATCAACAAAATTGACGGGATAAGAGTTCAGTGCAGCCTAATGGAGAACAAAAAGATCAGCAGGGGAGTCATTGGAGGAGTTCCTCTAAAAATTTCTGAAAAAGAGATTCTGGAAAACATAAGCGGTGCAAAAGTAAAAGAAGTAAAACGGTTAAAAACAACAAGAAACGGAGAAAGATCTGACAGTTTATCAGTGCTAATTAAATTTGAGGAAGAGCAATTACCAAGCAAAGTATTCATCGGTTACATAAGCTATAATGTCAAAATCTACAATCCTCCACCATTGAGATGTTTCAAATGCCAAAAATTCGGTCACATTGCAGCAGTTTGTAAAGGGAAACAGAGGTGTGGAAGGTGTGCAGGAGAACATGAGTACGGAAAATGTGGAAAAGAAGCTAAAATAAAATGCTGTAATTGTGGTGGAGAACATACTGCTGCCTATCGCGGCTGTGAAGCAAGCAAAAGGTCTGAGGAAATTAAAAAAATGAAATTTGAGCTCGGAATAACCTACGCTGAAGCTGCAAAAAGGATCCCATCTCAGTCAGAAAAACCCAAACCTACAGTTCAACACACGGCAAATTCCAAACCTCTAGAGAATCAAAAAATTGATGAAGACTCACTTATTGTTAAAAAGACAAATTTTGTTCTTTTCATGGTAGAAGTAATTAATTGTACTGCACAGACAACAAAAAAAACGGAAAAAATCAAAATAATAGTGAAGGCTGCAGAAAAATATCTGGACATTAAAGATTTGAACTGGGAGATGGTTGGAAGTATGATGGGAGGACCGATGGGACCATCAGAAACTGGCAGAGTTAAGATGACCTAGAGTAAATTAAAAATTATATGGGCAAATGTGATTTAGTATTATGTTGGTTTAAGTTACACAGGTTTTTTTTTTTTTTTTTTTTTTTTTTTTTTTTTTTTTTTTTTTTTTTGGGGGGGGGGGGGGGGGGGGTGAATCGTTTTCTGTTTTCTTGCTTTACTCCATATCAGTTGGTGGCGGTAATGCACAATTCACAAGTCTGCCAACCGCCATAAAACCCCATTAGAAGAAGAAGAAGAAGTTTGTTAATGCTCAGGTTAATGCTAATGTTAATGCTAATGTTAATGGGTACGTTCGAATTTATAGGCAGCGTCTTCCAAGCATCCGGTCTACCTGGACTGGGTCCTTTGAAGTCTTTGAAAATAAGGAGACCGGAATAGTTTTGCCTCTGAATTCAAACAGCTGTACCTTATGCGGCTTTTACCGCCTTACGCTCTGTCGCCTAGCAACCGTGACAGTTGACACACAAAGCAGGAAAAGAATGAATACTTTTCAAAACAGTTTCTTTTTTACTTTGGGGTGGGGGGGTTATTGTAAAGTCATTTTGCACATCTCTGATGTTGCTTCTATTTTTCAAATATCCATTACCGTAAAAATGTTATGTATATTGGTTATTTCTTTCAGAAGTTTGAATTCTGAAAATGACCAGACTTTTCCTTTATGGCCAAATTGTTTGCTGTTGTGAGCTTAAGCCATGCTCCTTTTATATGCCTTGAAATTCTATTCTATTCATTTCGGTTCCAAATTTCAGTGTCAAATCAAATGAGGAATCTTTTTTTCCGTGTCTCTAAACTTAAATCCTGTAGAAATTTGTGGAGCCAAATAAAGAGAGAAGAAGACCCCCTCTCTCCACCTCCAACCATGTAAACTGTTGGGAGGCTCCATGAAAAGGGATCCAACTAGGAATTGACAGCAGGAGCACTAATGTTTGTCATCGACATTTTGCATTTTAAAGAAAACAACAAAAATCTTCCATTACATCGTTGCTCTAATCATTTAATTAATTGTACCACCAGATTCTTTCTGAAGGACTACCTGAAATCCAAGCCTATAGGTTAACATTCAATCGCTATACCCTGTACTACTAACTGATTTTTGTGAAATTATATCATGACAAATGATTTCCATGATCATATGCCTACTTAAATAATTACAAATAAATATTTAACTCTATAAATACTCTACTATGGCTCAATGGAAAGAGTAGAACTCTTGTCATGTAAAACTTTCATTTCTGGATTAGTAATTTTGACTAATAAAGTGCTTCATAACTATTGTTAATAATCATCCATTCAATATAATTAAAGAAAAGTTAAATATATGTGTCAAACTATTTAAACAAACAAGAGGGAAGGAAGAAAAACACCAAATCAAATAATATCACAGATTAAAAAGATCTGTTTGATGGATTTAAAGTTTCTGGGATTAAATCAGGGACTGGGAACACATTTATTTTTTGGCCATTTGAGCAGCGACAGGGTCCACCTGGTAATGATAAAATGATAGTAAAACCCACAAATGAAAACAAGACTTTCTTGTGACAGTGCATTCACACTGTCTTTTTAGTTTTTATGTTTAATACATTGAGACTTACAGCAACTTCAGGCCTGTTATGCTATAAGAGGCTGCTTGTTCTGAACAACATATACCTAGAAATCCAGGCAAAGAAAAATAGAAGTAAAACTTGATTATTGATGATCAGATGTTTGTCAGAATATGTGACTGAATTATATTCTTAAAAAGCATTAAAAGGAGCTCTTAAAGCTGCTCTTAACATCATTTGCTCTGGATTTTTTGTCATTTATTCTTAAAAAAGTGCATTTCTTCTTTGATTGAGGAGGTAAAAGAGACATTTTAGAGACAATTTACACTCAAAATAAGAAAACACAATTTCATTTATTTAATTATCTTAAGTGTAAAAATATTAATTCCATTGGCAAACTATCTCATTAACGTCCTCAAATTAAGGGTAAATACACTTGATTTAAGACATTTTTACCTATTTCTAGATCATTTTTCCAGTGTCTCTCTAAAGTTTTGCTCCCCTGGGGGGTGTGGATGAGCATGTTGCAGCACACAAACAGTGAAATGACAATAATAATTGAGGTATTAGAGGGCTGCCAGACCAAAAAATACTCAATTACTATTTAATAAAAACAAAGATAACTCAAGATAAGGTAGGGCAGCCATAAACTGATGTGAAATCATAGTAACAACCTATAGCTTATTTAATACTTAGTTTTATTTAAAGAGTTTGTCCTGAGTGATTTCTTTTCAGGATAAAGAGCCAGAGAGAGAAAGCTTCAAGGTGTAAACACAGAGCTTTCCTTTAGCAAGCAGGTTTGTAAAACAAAACTAAAAAAAAGAAAGAAAAAAGGTAAGTCTTTTGTTTCGATTACTTAAAACCACATGGAAACACATTGTTTTTTTCAGCATTTAGTTTTCGATCAGATTGGATAAAGTTTGTTTCTCCCAGCTGGATCATCCAGACACATCTTCCTTTGACTGAAAGTCAGAGTCCACACAGAGGTGAAAAAGTGTTCACCAGAAGAAAGCGTTACCAGTTCCACTGTCTCAGCTATATGTTCACCATGGTACATCACACATGATATCTGTAGAAGGGTAGAAATGGGTCGGGAAGGCTGGCAGTAATACTGTAGGATCTCCAGGGAAACAATCCTCTATATTCTCCTTATCTCCAGTCTAATAATGTTTTAGACTAAACTGGATTTTTTTAAATCATAGTGGGAAAAATTTTGAAATGCTCTAAACACTGGAGATCTTTGCCTTGAAAATCCCTCAATGTCTTCTGAAGATTAATTTTAAAAAATCAAACCCACTGGGACTTCAAGCCTGTATGGAAGAACGACATAACAGCTGAATTTACTGTATGAGAAAGATCTGGGACGACCTGATCTAGTGCAGAAACAACCTCGATAAGACGGTCTGTCGACCATAGACATGGATGAGGTCAGCAGCGAGGCCGACGTGCCTAGAGGGCGGCCATCTTGGATTGGAGCACAGTTCAGAGTGGCTGTGGGAATCGAGGCTAATGTCTTACATGACCTTTCAGTTAGATTATAAATTTTTATTCAGATTAAAAACTATTTAAACTGAATCTGGATGAGATTTATGCAGTTATATATTTTGCAATTAAATATTAATATGATAAACAAAGTTTTTAATATAAGATTGTTTTAAAAATAGTACATATTTATATAGTATATCATAATTCAGTATTTTTAAGGATAGCTCTTCGATAATGAGTATTATGATCTATAGAAGAAAATTTGTTGTAATGTGATTTACAAAAGAGTAAAGTTTTTTTTATCAATTTTAATTTATTTTTTTGTCATTTTTTTGTTGTGAAATCCTAGTGAATGGTAAATTTATGTTGTGTCTATCTAAAGGCTTTTTGTCCTTATAAGTTTGTCTAAACTTTTTCCAAAACCCTTTTTCCATCTGTTTTTTTAATCCTTATTTATGCTTATATGTAACATTTGTGTTTTAATCAGTTAATGTGCATCATATATAATATATATTTTAATATTTTAGTTTGTTTTGGGTTTTAATTGGTTGTGACATGTAAGAGATTATTGTAATATCTCTGACTCGTCTTTCATGTGATTAAAATGAGGTTTAAGGCGCCTCCTATTCATTCCGACAGCAGCTGTCTGAACTGTGGTCCGACCCAAGATGGCCGACATCTAGGCACGTCAGCCAGCGTCCAAAAAGACTTAAAAAATGTGTGTGCTGCAGACTAGAAATGTGTTTAGAGAACAGTTCAATGTCAGAGTGGGCAGCCATTGTTTCCTCATCTCCTGCTGCTCACCAAGGAGGCCTGAAGGGGGAAATTTAACCAGGTGCTTAAACAATGTGGACATGTGGCATCTCTCTTTATTTTTTTCAGTTTATTTGTACAGGATATAAACACATTTAAATGTGAAAATATTTTGGAAATGATTTAGCAGAGTATTTTTTTCTAAATAACAAAAAGAGCCACAGTATATCTTTGGCTTCCATAAAAAACTAAAATCCATTTGCTGCAACGGCAGCAAATAACATCTCATTTCAGGGATCCGTTGATGCTAAAGAACTTTGGGAAATTAACCATTTTCAGATATTGCACAAAACGCACCGTTAACAAATCCTTCGTCACAGGTTCAAAGCCAGACCAATGACTCTTGGAAACCTCTGCAGATATGTTACCTTCGACTGTTTGGGATTTATAGCTGATCTTTAGGCGTTAACCTGAAAGAGTTTTGTTGATGCTGTGGATTAAAAAAGAAAGGACTCAACAAAATACCTCATTGGGTTTCATGAATAGTTTCATTTTTGTAACACAGGTTTGAGTTATGTGAAAAATCCAAGAAGGGAAAAAAAAAAAAATACATTCTGGGAGTACAAGGCTTTTTTCATCCGTGAGCTGGCCTGGCTGTTACCGTCCTGAAACCAAGACAGCTTGGCTTTGGTTTTCTAAAGAACAAAACAACTTTGACCCAACCAGTGGGTAAATACATGCAGCAGATGGCAAGAAACCTGGCAGTTTGTATGACATACATGGCAACCAAAACGCATCTTAGAAGCGAAGTTTAAAAGGGGGAAAAAGAAAAACTAAATAATAATGGGATGCTCTGCTTATGAACAGTGGAAGAAGAGATGGTGCTGTAGAAAACCTGGCAAAAACATGCATTTTGTTATAAATAAAACTCCAAAGTTGACCTCTTGGCTCTGGGTCTCCCTACATTGTTTTGAATGTGGGATCTACAGTCATTAACAGTGAATTTGAAATGTAAAAATGTATCCAAAGAGGATAAACACACATTTGATTATTACAAATAAAGAATGCAAAAATAAACCTGTCTGATTTTTTTTTCTTTGTGTACTGCACCTCTAGTAAGTTCCATTCGAAGCCATGTTTCTATGACACAGTACATTCTTGAACAGTGACAAAGACAGGGAAAGAAATCACTGTGCTGGCACCAAGATCCTGAGATGTTTTGTTTTTTTGTAGATCTAATGAGAAAATATACACAAACTCGTTTGATCTAGTGCTCCTGCATTTTGACCTCAATAAATACCCTCAGTAATGCACAGATTACAATCTACATCTACTTAAGGAAGTACCTAATTCAAGGTGTTGGTGCAAAATAGGAGTCAGCTTTCTGAGGGGAACCAGAGATTTCACTGGAAGTACATCAAACACAAAACACCGACGAGCAGGGCAGTCCCAGCACCCACATTGAGCAGGATGGGCCTCCAGTACTGCCACTTCTCCTGTCTCTTCTCTGAATCAGTCAGTTTTTGTTTCATCTGCAGCACCTTCTGAGCAGTGCCAGCAATCCTCTCCTCACGGTGCCGCTTCCTCAACCTATTATACCAGAAAGAAACAGTGAGGGAAATATGTAGACAGTGCATAAAAAATACAAATGCTGCATGAGAACAGCAAACAGAACAAAAAAAGTGCAGGATTAGATTGCCGCTGTTCTGTCAGATCAGAATACTACGTCAGACCAGCATACCCATAAGTCAATATGCATAAGCAAGATGTCAGATTTGTGTTTATCCCTTTAGTTTGTATTAAAAATAGACTGTAAAATATCTCAATGAGCGTGTGTCCCTTTAGTAATGTACAAAAAAAAACTAATTAAGGTGAAATCGCCAAATGCTTTAAAACTACACCAAAAGGTGAGTAATTAAAAGGTTTTTTTTGTACATGATTAAAGGGATACACGCCCATTGAGGTAGTTTAAAGGGATAAATGGGTATTGACTATGGGTATGCTGGTGTAACCGGGTATGCTCGCCAACACATGGGATGCAAAGCAGTGGCTGCAAATTAGGCTCGTCTCAAAAAAATTATGATTTATAAAACAAGCAGGATTTTGCCATTTTCAGTCTGTGACAAACAAGGCAGCGAGGATGAAGTCAGAGTATTTACTGAAATTCACTTAAATCATAAATGGGGAAAGTTTTGTTACATTCTTGTTGCAAGCAAAGAGGACATGGTAACACTTACAGTACATCAATAACCATGTAATAACACGGTAATAAAACAGCAGGCCACATTACATTACACCGTAACAAGAAAACCTTTATTTGGCATTTACGCTGAAATGAAGGTTTATAATTTCAAAAGTAATTATCTTTTTTATTATCAAAACTGTATTTTACTAAGTAACGATGGAGACTTTTGGTGGGTAGTTGCTATTAGGTTAGCACATAACAGTTTCTATTAGTGGCCACCACCTACCAACGGCTTACAAAGTACATTGTAACTTATGATCAAGATACTAAAGCGTTATAAAACTGAACTGAAGTTGTCTTCTAGTTTTTTTTGTTATATGTCAAGTGAAAAACTGCATTTTACTAGATAATAACACATAAATGTATTGCTGTCTGTGACATGAATGAGTTTCCTGGTAATAAATGCCTGAAATCTAAGAAGTCCAACTTTACCTCGTCTGCCTGAAGTTTGAAGCACAACACTTACCAAAATTCTTGTTACCAAGTAATATAGAGTAACTTGCTATGTTTTTGGTTATTGATGTACTGTAATAGAAAGTGTTACCGAGGACATTTTGTAAATGGAAATTTGAAAGTAAAAAATACCATATATTAATAACATTAGGGCTGCAACTAATGATTTAATAATCAGATAGCCAAAGGGGCCATAAAGAGTTTTTTACAAAATTAAAATAGGTGAAACAAAAAGTTTTCCAATTGCGGAGTTCTGAATAGAGCATACTGACAGACAAAAACATCTTTTTATTTTAAATGCAAAATATTTATATATCTTTTAACAATTTTTATATAATTACTGCTTTGAGCGGGTTGCTCTGTCAGCTAAAGGCAATTTTTAGGTCCTCTATACTCCATTTAAGGATTAATCACTAAGTAAATTAGTTGATGATTATTTCAATAATCAGATGAATCGTTTCAGCCCTAAATAACATTTGGAGAGTAACTTTGCTGTTTTCTCAGATTTGTTTTTCCCCTTTATTTCTTATTTTCAAATTCATTTTCTGTATTTTCTTCTGATAAAATGTTGTTTTATGTTTGCTTTTGCAGTTTGCTTTTGCATTTTTATATTTTTAATTGAGTTTGGCAAATTGCATCTTTTTTATTACAACTCACAGATCACATTCACTTCACTGCAAGCCAAATCCAAACACTCCTTGATTAATAAAAATGTTGCTAACATCGATGAGGACCAATAGAAATGCATCTCTGCTCCTCAATCCAAGGGAAAGCTTCCCCCCCCCAGACGTGAGGAAAATCAGAACAGACTTATCTGTTCTTGAAATTAACAGCTGTCCCAGCATGCATCAGGTCACACCTGTCCAATCTGGAGATTAACAGCTGTCAAAGCATGCACTGCGGCAGCAGCAGCTTCTAATGGAGCGCTCACAGAACTGAGTATTAAGTTAAAAGTTCTCTTTTCTGTTGCTGTTGTTCATAAAAAGTACGTTTTAAGATGATTATCCTTTGAAGCATCACTATATGGCCCATTTACCCATTTAATGTGTAATTTTTTTTATTTATTCTGAAGTTAAGAGGACTGCGGCAACCAGCAGAGCTCCGAGGCTGACCACAGCCTGCCTGCAGCGGACCGCTCTCTGCATAGCCATTAGTGAAATACTGCTGGCTCTGATGGCGATTTGTTTGTTTTATTTGGCAAAATGTTGATTTGATTTGTGTTTCTCTGACTGTTTTCATTATTATTCCCCCACTAAATGAAAAAAGTAATAATTTATTATTATCTAGAGACTATTAATAACAGGAGGTGAAATGCAGCTCCAGAAGAACCGAGCTTTAGGTGACGTCATCAGTACGCTTCTGTTCCAATTGAGCCATATGTATGCTGCGTTCTCCCAGAGTCCAGACTTTCCTTTGTTCTTCTCAAGAACATACTTGGAGAGGACATGAGTCCGTACTCGCGTTCTTGTGAATTGAGTACGAGTAGCATAAAATGCTATTTATATTGCATTTTATAGAATGCTATATAAAATATTTTTTTTTATTTCCCATTTACAATAAAATGCTCAAAATGTGCATTGAGGAGCTGACAGGTGTCTGTTTTAAATAAAACAGCTTGTATAGTTACTTTTTACTTTAATGCTAAAATTGGTGCGTTTTCATCACCTACATAAACGTAGCCCAGTACTTCTGTGTGCAGTTAATAATATACACATTCTTATAAATAATCTCAGCAATATATAGGATGATTTTTAGGCAAATAAAATTGTCATTAGTGAGTTGGTTTTGAAATTGTGATTGCTGCTGTGATTGTCCAGTTTCCTGTCGGATTGATGTGATTCCTGAGTATTTACTGCAGTCTTGCTGCTGTGTCCAGCAAAAATAGAATAGAATTGAATTCAGCCCGCGTTCTAATGGAGGACTTGTCCTGCCAACACCAGGAGTAGCAATTTTCATTTTAAAGCAGGATTTCATCTACTTGCACTGAAAACTTGTGATGCTCACATTCAAAATTCACTCCGTCCCGTCTGCATGATCCTAGGGAATTAAAGGACGTTTATAAGGTAAAATCCACTTCTTGTGTTTTTCCCTCATTGTGCCAAAAGTGAGATTTGGCTTCATTCACTTATGTCTGAGTAATCCTAATGAATTCTGTTCTCTGAGCAGAAGCTATAGGGCAGCACCCAGTGAAGCCACGCCCCTTTTCTACTGGGTTGAAAATAATAAGCAACATAAAACATCTTAAGATGCCATAAGAAGTGAATATTCTGCCTATAGTTGACTTTAAAAGGCTCTGAAACATGGTGAACAATCACTTACTGCACAGAGTTATCAGCCTCACTGTGGCGGCATGGATCTCCTGCTGAGGCGGGGTCTCCTGCGCTGGGCTCTGGGTCCAAGCATGGGCCGTTGGGCCTGCTGTCATTGAGGTGGGGTCTGGGGGGAGGCGTTGGAGGAGCCATTTCTGGTTCCAGGTGATCTCTGAGCAGCCTTTCCTCTGAGATCTGCCATAAAGGATGAGATGCAGACATTTGGGCAATATTCATTATATCAAAACTATATCTAGGCTAAAAATGAACAACACAAACACCATCAGGACACTTTTAGTACGTCGCCATTATCATAATTGGTCTATTTGGTATAAACATATTTCATGACTATGTGTCTTTAAGGGATTTTTTAATTTTGACTATAAATCCAGTCTAATCTTTTTCCTAAAGATGTCAATTTGCATCAATATTCAGCAAAGTTCAGAGTTTAACCAAAGATGATCAAACCTGCGGAGGAAATAACTAGAACCCAAATAACGTAGCTACTGTAGCTTTTTAATGTTGTTTTATTTGGATGGTCACACAGGATGATTTTTAAATTTACATGTTGTTGAAGTTTACTTTACATCAGCACCACGTTGCAACAAATCTGACTCTTTTAAGCAGGCTTGTCTCCTTACAGACCTGCGTACGACAAACATGTAGCTAAAGTTCAGAGGTCACTCAGCCTCGGCATGAGTGCATCTGCGTGTACAGCAGCAGCCATTCAAAATGGCCCTTCCCAGGCAAACGCCAGCCGGATGGCAGCAAACTTCCAGCTTTAGTGGTGAACGTCTCCTTCTCCTGGGCGTGCATATTTTTTACTCTTCCATATCTCCACTCTTCCATTGAAATACAGGGTCTGACCAGGAGATTCTCTTTAGATCTTAATGTCCACAAATCATGACAGTAGGAATATTTTAGCACAAATATTGATGCTTAAAAAGGAATTTTAGGGAACCAGCCAAGGACCCATCAAGGAAAGTGGGGAAATTCTGAACGGCTACTACTGTAAAAAGGGTTGAAGATAAATGCTTTGTTTGACTTTTTAGTAAAACTTAAAATAAGGACATCGACTACAAAGACTCAGATCCTGTCAGTTGATCCGGTTGATGCAACCATGACAAATGAGATCCTTCAGGCCTCATCACTGACATCTTTCTCCCTGTGATCAATTTCAAAGTAAACCAGAGGCTTGAAACAGCAGAACTGCTCCTGTTGTTTGGGGTCATGCATCTTTTGTATGTTTTAAAGCGCTTAGCATACCTGCTGGTTTGGATACTTCTCATTGAGGCACATTTATCATGTGGTTCTGTAACACCAAGTGGTCTCAGTGTCCAAAAATCCCTTTTTCTGTAGTTCAGGTCCAGCTACCTGTTCTACGGCGACGTTGCTCAGGATGTTTTTGGCTCCCTCGATGATGGACATGTAGGAGAAGCGCAGCTGGTCTGGCGTCTGGATCAGGCCCATGCGATATTCCCTCATATCTAGCAGCACCTTCTGTATGTCCACAGATGACGAGCTCTTACTCCTGTCCATCTGAAAAGCAGATTTATCCGTTTATACAATAAAATAGGAGAGACTCAGAGGTTAAGTCAGTGTTTCCACTCAGCAGTGATTCAGATCTGAATTCTTAACAGGATGTTACAGGGTCGCAATGTCACAACCTTAAAGCTGTTTAGAGACTAAATAAAAATAATGAAGGGTTAAATATTTATCTAAACCAGAGGTCTCCTATGTGGCGGTTGGGACCTCCTAGTGGGCTCATAGGTGCACCCCAGTGCACCTATGAGCTTTGGGTTAAGTTTTGAACTCTTGCTTAAAAACACAAAACAATTGAAAAGAAAATCCAGTTCTACATGATCTTTGACTTTGAAATTAAAGAGTGAGAAAAAAAAATCGACACCAAGTGTTGATAGACAAAGTGTTCCTGCTGTTAAAATGCATGTGAATGGTAGGTTGTTGGAAGGCATTTCCAGATAATCACTGACATCAATGTTTCTGCCTCAGTGCACAAACTAAACATTTACTGAATGAAGCTTAGAACCAACATGCCACAACTTCTCTCTGTAGCCCTCAGCTATCATCCTTCATGAGTGACTCATCTTGTGGAGCATGGATCACTTCACAAACTCCTAAACCCTTTGCTCCTAAATCAAACACTGAACAATCGCTCTCTATAACGTCAAATCTATTAACAGTGAAAGTTTCTCACCAGTACCAGGCAGGTGTCCACCAAGGCAAAGGTCCCTGAGCGTCCGATCCCTGCGCTACAATGCACCACTGAGGGGCCGTGTTCCGGGCCCAACGACCCTGACTCCCGAACCTTGAAGAGGAAGTTGAGAAAGGATGCAGGAGATTCGGGTACTCCAAAGTCAGGCCATGTGGTGTAGTGAAAGTGGTAGATCTGTCTGGATTCCCCGGTCTGGCAAAACAAATGACATCAGCCATGAATGACACGCAGCACGGAGAAGTTCCACACTGCTGCTTTAACAGGAAACAGAGAAAAATACAGGTGGGATAAAAACCAGACTTTAAAGAAGCCCACAAGAAGCAAATGCTTATTGCTTATAAAAAAAATGAAGATGCGTTGCTAAGGTTACAATCCACAACCAGAAAGAAATCAGTACAATCTTAAGAGGCGGGATTTTCTAAAAAGTAGAAATTTCACATGCAGTTTACTTTCTCAGGTTGGTTCCTTTCTCAAAGTGACAAAAGTTGACATAATGGCAAAGAAAGAGGTCCACACCTGAGTATGAGTGAAGCTGCAGGCTCATAAAACAGCAGAGAGCCCAGAGAAGGAGCATGAATTCATGGTTGCGACATAATGGCCGCATCATGGTAATAATTCTGCACCAATAAAATGCTCCAAATGTCCATGGAGAGGAGTCTACAGGCGTCTCCTTTAAATACAAAAGCTTGTATGGTTACTTTTTACACTTTTGGAACAATATTAACCTCTTATATTCCACAATAGTTCAGTAAACTGAGCGCAGAGACGCTTTATTTGTTGCCAGTATTGGTGCGTTTTTATAACCTATGTAAACACAGCCCAGTACTTCTGTTTGCAGTTAATAATATACACATTCATATATATATAATCTCATCAATAAATAGATATAAGACAATTTTTGGGCAAATAAAGTCGTCATTAGTGAGTTGGTTTTGAAATTCCGGTTGCTGTGATTTTCCAGTTTCCTGTCGGATTGATGTGATTCTGAGTATTTACCGCAGTCTTGCTTTCAGAGCAGGATTTCATCTACTTGCATTGAAAACATGTGATGCTGACATTCAAAACTTCTGCTTCCTATCAAATATATTCTCTTCTCCATCAACTCTCTCAGACTGGATGCTTCTTATACAAATATTTTCCTTTTGTTCATATTCTTGTTGTGGCAAACCAATCTGCTCGAGTCAAAGATACGCTTGCAGACCCCTTAGCTCTGCTTCTGGAGTTTTTTTTTGCCCTCTCTCAGAATGGAGTCAGATTGTCGCCAAGCAACCTCTTCTCTGCGAGAAGCATTAGAGCTGAGAGCAGAAACAAATATTTGATGGAGATGAGAAGATATTTTTGAGAAAGCAGAAGTTTTGAATGAGAGCATTTTGGGTAAAAGTAGGTGAACTTGTGCTCTCAAATAGATATGGGGAGCTCTTGGTTTTTTGGCATAGGTTCCTTTTGCTCGCCGTCACCGTGTGGAGCCATTGGCCATTTCTGAATTCACAATAACGCGAGTACGGACTCGTGTCCTCGACAAGTATGTTCTTGACAAGAACACAGGTAAGTGTGGACTTTGGGAGAACGGGAGATGGCAGCATAAATCTGGGTCAACTGGTCTGGAACAGAAGCGTACTGATGACATCACCACATGCTCAGCTCGTCTGGAGCTGCATTTCATCTTCTGTTATTAAAAGTCTCTAGATCATAATAAATTCATACTTTTTTCATTTAGTGGAGGAATAATAATGAACGCAGGTAGATAAACACAAATCAAATGAACATTTTGCCAAATAAAAAAGAAAAAAAATCGCCATCAGAGCCAGCGGTCCTTCACACACAGCTATGCAGAGAGAGAGCTGCTGCAGACGGGCTATCATTAGCCCTGGCTTCTGTTAGCCCCCCTCATGGCAGCCAGGGCTCTCTTCTAAGGTCCGGTCCAGTCGGTGGCCAAGCAGTCAACACTCCATCATCCACTGATTGATCAAATCAGAATTTTGCCAAATACCAAAAAAAAAAAGAGGAACTTTTAGGGTACAGGGTATACAGGAATGAGTAACTCTACTTTAATGCTCCTTTAAGGCTTTTAGAAACAAATTTAATGCCATCAACAAGTACCCTTGACTCCCATATATATATATATATATATATATATATATATATATATATTAGTGCTGTCAATCGATTAAATTTTTTAATCGCGATTAATCGCATCAATGCCTGAGTTAACTCGCGATTAATCGCATTTTAATCGCACATTTTTTTCCTGATTGAAAATAATTTAAATACTCTCGATGACATACAAAAAAATACATACAGGCTAGGTTTGTCCCAATGTTCTTTTTTTTAAATGAAAACAGGTCACAGACACTGATTTATGCCATAGAAACATATGGCAAGAAGATGGGGAGGCATGTAGCAAAAAATAACAAATATGTAGCCAAAAAAAAAAGGCCCTGAAAACAGGCTGATGTAAAAGACAGTCTTTACAGTTAATACAGTCTTTTGAACAAAGACAAGCATTTTACCCTACTGCTATAAAATGTAGTACAGTTAACATTAGATGTTAATTAACCAAGATAATAATGAACAATTTTCAATCAATACATCAAAATCAATAGACCGACATCACTAGATGGACGTTCTATGCTCTAGAAAGTTACTTTTCAGCCTCTTAACAAAAATGAGAACACACACAGACACACCCACCCACACACACGCGATACCGAGCTGTGGCGTACACATGCGGCAAGAGTGCCGTAGCAGATTCCATTTCACCTCAGTAATCTGTTTTCTCAGCGTATTTCAGGTTGCTACTAGTTACCAGACACTCAACTTGTTTGTTGGTGGTGGGGCTTAAAGAAAAGGCACTAGCGCTACCCAGTGTATCAGCGTCTTTTTCCCTTGAGGAGCTCCGCTCTCGAAGCCTATGAGAAATGCATAGACTGGGGGAAAATAGCCCCGCCTTCCCGCAGGCTGCAGCGGGATGTACTTGGAAAATTGTACCATAAAACCACATAACGTTAATCTCACGTTAAAAAAATTATCGCCGTTAAAATGGCCTCGCGTTAACGCGTTAATAACGCGATAATTTTGACAGCACTAATATATATATATATATATATATATATATATATATATATATATATATATATATATATATATATATATATATATATATATATATATATATTTATTTATATATATATATATATTTATTAGGGATGGAATGGTTTATGAAAACCGTCCGAACCGTTCAGTTCGACTGTCTCGGTTCGGTTCGCGTGTGTTGCGTTCGGTTCGTGCTCTGCTCCTTTTTCTCATAGGCGAAGCGTTTACACTCCAGAGCAGAAGGTGGCGGTACTGCGACCAAAGCCAACCACCAGTAGTAAACAAGAAGAAGAAGAAGTGAAGCAGCGTAGCCGGGTGTAGCAGAAAAAAATCTGTTGTTGTGGAGAATTGTGTGGGTATGGCGAGTGGGAAAGAACAGGAGTTGGAAGACGCGCCAGCAGCACTTTATAGGTCTGCTGTATGGGACCACTTTGCATTTAGAGTGACCTACGATGACGGCGGAAAGAAAGTTGTGGATAAAAGTGCAACAGTGTGCAAGCATTGTGCAACACGTTTTGTTTATGCTAACGGCAACAGGACAAACATGTTAGGCTAACCCTGAAGTCCCACATACTCCATCAGCGCTCCGCCCCGCTGCGCTCCAGACTGCCTGCACAAAGCAAAGCCTACAGCCTCCTCTGTGGCTCCCGTCCGCTCCACTCTGAGTTCCTTGGAGATCGTAGAGAGCATGCGCGAGATGATTAAATTCAAAGCAGCAAAACATGCGGAAATGATCCATGGTTTCCGCGGATCATTAAAAAAAATTACAATTCATTAATTTTTGGGGATTTTTCATTGATTTCTTTCATTTTTATTTTTTCATTAATTTTTATAATTTTTTATTAATTTCTTAATTTTTCAGTGTAACAACAATATATACCGAACCGAAAACCCTGACCACGAAACCATGAACCGAACCGAACCGTGGATTTTGTGAACCGTTCCAATAAGGCAACATCCCCGGGTTTATGTCAACTCAGGACTTCGTTTTATGATGGAATTTTAAAATTGTGAGATTTGCAGAGAAAGGAGGAGTCGATGGGGTTTGACCTTCTCTGTACGTCCATTTCACCCACTGAACTATTATTCATCTATGACAAAGGAAACTCGGTTTTACATTCTATGACCCCTTTAAATGATCTCGAAACAAAAATGTATAGAACGACCACAGAAAACAGAACTTTAAACTTACTCTGAGTTTACATACAACTTACATACTCTGAGCTCTGTGAGTGCTAACCTGGAAGCTGCTGCTACCGCAGTGCATGCTGGGACAGCTGTCAATCTCAAGAACGGACAAGTCTGCTCTGATGCATGCTGGGTAAAGGGGGAAGGGCGAGAACAACATCTAGGGACTTTGTCCGTTCTCGGTTTCACGAGCACATGTGAACGCTCAAGTACACATATTGAGAAACGGCCGCAGTAAATGCTCTTATTAATTATAACCATAAGGTATTTTCTGCTCAGTTCACATGGATTTAGTAAAATTAAAAGTGAACAAAGCGGAATTTGGGGAAACTTAAAAAGCCCCATATTGTTCTATGTAGCTGTCACTAAATCACAATAAAAGGAATCACAGCAACTACTTAGCTGCTGGTCTGTTTCAGAAACAGACAAAGCAACCGTTAACACTGCACTGTCATTTAACAGCCTCCCTCCGTGTTCTGGTTCTGATAGCAGACCACTTTGGACCAGCAGGCGGAGAAGTCATGGAGTTACTGGTAAAAACAGCGACCGGGTCACCCCTCGAGATTAAATCCTACATCGGAGAAACAAAAATAAATCTGATCAGATAAGAGTCAGATTTGCTTTGTTGCTAAAAACAACTTTAATCCAAGTTATCTCTAGTTTTTAAGGGAAGCTCAGACGGCTGTTTAGAGAGGGATCCGACCCCGGGGGAGTTTCTGTGGAGCATTGATATGCAGCAATATTGGCCTAAAAAAAACCTTCATTTCATCTCATATGACTCTCCTCTTACACATGCACAACCCTGTACCCGCTCCAGAGACGAAACGTCTATTAAACTCGTGCGACAGAATGCACAAGCTTGTTTCTACTTGTGCACACTCTGTTTAAAAGTTGCTGTTTGCATCGCTCATACAAGCTTACTTTCCAAAAGAAGATTAGTAAAGCTTCCATTATGTCAGACTCACTGCTGGTAAATGAAAATGGGAACAAGCACGTAGGATGGCCTTATGTAAACATAACTGCTGCTGGTTTACTGTCTGAAAGCTGAACAAAACCAAATTTCGTTTTGAAGGATGATTGACAATTAGGAGGAGCACTGATTTTGATGATCCACCCGGAAAAAGAACATCCTCCTTTATGCCTTTAAGCTAATAGTTTGGTGAAAAGTTACAGTGTTGGTTTATTAATGCTAGTCTAATTTTGTAGCACATAAAAAACGTATTTCATCCATCAGCTCCATCCCTGAGCGTCTGTAGTTTAACCACTTTGCTTTATCATTCAAACTTCTCTTGTCATCATGTCAAGCCCTTTCAATTACAATGTAACTGAAACTTGATAAAGAAATAAACTTTGGTCAAAGTGAACCAATCTGATGAAGAGAGACGATAAATCATTAGGTTTTGTTTTTTTTACTTATTAATTATGATCATCTTTCAAAATAAGACTTATCTAAATATTAATTGTAGAAGTTATTAGCTTGATGTGGTACATTTATTCACCGATACAAGCTAACATTGTGTTTTTTGAAGGAATATTTTACCCTCATAATCTGACATTAGGGCCGACATGTAGAAATGGGCTAAACAGAATGATGACACTTGCTATTAGTTCTCTAAGCAGCGGCATCCGTGGTTAGTTTCATGCTCACCTTTGTGTTCTCTAGCTCTAGCACCCTGATTGTATAGTGGGATTGGTCCTCCTCTGACAACAGTCGAACAACAAAACCTGTATCTGTGAATGACATCTGAGGCTCGTCTGGAGTGGGCCAGTACTGCGCACACTTTTCCTGTGGAGACAGAACAAATAAAATCAACCTTGGACAGGACGGCGTGCGTTCACTGCAGCCGTTTAAATCTAACCCAAAACTGGTAGCGGCTCTGTGACGTTTAGAAACTCAGAGATAATACATGATGTATTGCATTGTTTTTAATACATGCTAAGCTAGAATATAAAAGTACGGTGCAAAAACAAACTAGTAAACGAAGACAAGTTAAGCTTTGAATATAGAACCTCAGACGGCAAGTAGGAACAAATCCAACGCACTGAAACGACTGATCCACAGATGAGATCGTATCTCTTTTCTTCAGCATTTATTTAACATTTAAATATGGTTTATTGAGGACAAGATTCCTTCAATTTCTTTTTTCTGGTTAACGAGTTGATTTGTGGAAATCAAAAGGATTCGCATTGTCTCACAGAAACCTGGTTGCAACAAGAAAATTAATCTTTTGTCAGAGTGTAAAAGAAGCCAAACGACCCCCAGAACAAATGGGTGGAGCCCTTCGTCTAATTTGCATGTTTTCAAAACAAAAACAAGGCTTTGTTGGGCTACTGTATAAAACCTCGAAATCAACACTATTTCTGACATTTTAAATTGAAAAAGCTTCCTGGATGGGAAGAGAAATGTCTTCAAATTTGGAAACCAGGTCCAGCAGCATATGCTAGCATAAAGAAAGCAACTCCATCCAGCCATTTAAATTTTCACAAGCAATAAAACCACTTCTATTTGGGATCTGTAAACAGAATTTGAAAAGAAGGCAATTATAAAAATTCATTCTGAAATTTTTTTATATGAAATCAGTGTAAAAAAAAAATACAAATAAAATGAAATCTAAGAAAAAAGCCATTTTCCAAACTCCCCAGACCTCAGTATGTTTAAGTTCATAAGAACAAGCTGACAAGAACCAGTGTGGCTGGTTTGAGTGGGTTGGGAAGGGGAAAGGTCAGTACTTGATTTGAACCTACAAGACCGAAGAAAGTCTGCTGGGACTTTTTTTTAAAGAAAGAGCATTTTTGCTGACTCAAAATTTAAAAAAGGCTCAAAGCAAGTGTTGAGTGCAGTGATGGGGGGTCAAACTATTTACATCTGTTAACAGCTACAGGACTGAGGGCACCAAGCAGCCTCTTCTTTAAACACGAACAATAGAGATGACAGTGAAGCCGTTTGCCATCTTAAACTTTGACAAAAATGTTTTCATGGTCAGAGAAGCAAAGCAGAGACACTAAGTAAAGAGAGATACCTGCAAAGCATAATGAACAAAAAATACCACGGCAAGAAAAGCCATAAGATCAGAGATGGTGATGGACATTTTAATTTTATTTAAAAAATACTGTTCCTGCTAATTATTGTCACCTAAAAAAAGGCTGTTTGCACTACAGAAACATGCAACCCAATTCTAACCAATATCCAACCTTTCACACCAGTCTGTACGCCTCAATCCGGATATTTTCACCTCCAAAATATCTGATTTAAAACCGCTTCCATATGTGGTGTTTAATCGGATCATTTTCAAAGCCATTGCAGTCTGAAAGGGCATGTTCCACTTTATTCAACTCTTACATCATTGCCACATATACACACACACACACATATACAGTAGTAGGTATTCAAAATTTCCCCACTTTCCTTGATGGGTCCTTGGCTGGTCCCCTACAATTCCTTTTTAAACGTCTTTGTACTAAAATATTCTTTCATTTGTGGACATTACGATCTAAAGAGAAGCGTCATCTCCTGGTCAGACCCTGTCATTCAGTGAAAGGGTGGAGTCAGAGTAAGAAATATACACGCCCAGGAGACGGAGGGGGTCACTCCAGTTGTCCTCCATTCGGCTGCCGTTTGACTGGGAAAGGCCATTTTGAATGACTGCTACTGTATACATTATTATATATGAATGATTTTTCTGTTTTATAGATTGATTTGAACAAACTGCAGTCTGTTCGGGTTGCTTTTTACAGAGCACATTCTCTTTACTTCTGGGGGGGCAGGCCTTTCACTGTAGAAGGAGCATTTTTCAAAGTTTCATTCTGGATTGCATTTTATTTTTTTCTAATAAAAAAATGTGTTCTTTGCTGCATCAATAATGGAACAAAATGTATTGGTATGAAAGACCTACGGTGGTCAGGAGGTGCAAACCAACATTACAAAATCTAAAAAAACTTTTACAAGTTCCAAAACAAATTATCATTTCAGAAAACAAATTTACATTTTTTAAAAATCTAAACAAATAGCATTTTCAGAAAACAAATAAAAAACATTCAAAACACTTTTACAAGTCCCAAAAAACATTACCATTTCAGGAATTCAACCGGAAAGGGTGGGAACTTGTACGAAATTCTGTTTCTGTCCCCCTGTGTCAGGAGTGCACATTGCAGCCAGAGAGGCATTATTTCATTCTCTTTTAATTATGGCAAATGAAGAGTAAATATGGCCAAATCCACAGGATTTGGTGTTGATGGTCATAGGAATAAGCACGGTTAAAGACTTGCAGGTACACTAATTTCTTCCGATGTTATGGAGGAGGAACAGATTATTTCAGTTAGCTTAAACATCCATTCTCTCCTCTCCTCCTCCCATGGAGGTAAATAAAGAGCAACTGTTTCCAATTTCTCTAAAATTGATGTGTGATATGTTTAAACTAGAAATGTCCTTAATCCAGCAATCTGTCATATTTTACATTAGAAGGGGATTAACCAGAAATTCTACCCTCTCATCTTCGCAGGACGTCTTAATTTGTGTGCCCTGCTATCAGCCAGTTTCCATCCTCTTAAATCAGCAATACAAAATTTAAAATACACTACATGTTGGAAATCTGTGTTTGGTGACTGAAGTTTATTTCTGTCAGGCTGAAGGGACAGAAGTTGGAGAAATACCGATTCTCTTGGCGTTTAAAAAAACAACACAAAACAGCGTAAAAAGACCTCGTTAATGTATTTATTTTACAAATTAGTAAAAAGAGCAACCGATCAAACTGAATGTTGCAAAGTTGACATGATTATATGAGCTGTTTTTACCGAGAAACGATCAGGAGCGCCGTAAAAATGGTCAGCGCCGCCTCTCTGGCTGCAATGCTTGCTCCCGACACAGGAGGAACAGAAACAGAATTTCGTACAAGACCGGTTCAGCCTCGGAGTTAGTTCCCACCCTTTCCGGTTGAATTCCTAAAATGGTCATTTGTTTTGGAACTTGTAAAAGTTTTTTCAGGGTTCCTACAGCATAAGGCAAGTTAAATTCAAGACTTTTTAAGACTTTTTAATGCAACTTGAAATAAAAATGTAAAACCAAATTCACAAGAAACACAAGAAAAACCTGCTTGCAACAACTTAACGCAAAGGTTTATTTTAACATAAACCACTGCACTAATGTTTCATACAGGAAGAAAGCTAAAAACACACAAATGACAGATATATTTTAACAATTATTTAACTGAATCCACAAACTTTGTTTTAGCAGGGAACAAAACAAATCAGTTCTAAAGCCACAACATAACCAGTGCTAAGTCTTTTTTGCAGCTATTTTTCTTTGCATCGTTTTCTTAGTATGTTTGATTTGGTGATAAGTGGAGGCGTTGCAGAGACAAGGGTGGAACTACACCGAGAAATACCGGCTGTTTCTCGGTAACTCGATTTTGACGCTTTGTGTTTCGTACTTCGCATGTGCGACTCCACTGCCTTAATTCCCATCATTCCGAGCTTTAATCGCTTCTTGCACAAAATCCACTGAGCCTCATGTATGTTCCCTGGTTTTAGCCATGGAGAAAACTCTTGGCTGGAGCCAATTTTCATTACTTTTACACTTGCTCATATTATCCAGACAAAAAGTAAATGGCGCATCTCCCAAATGTCCCGGCCGCAACAACCCTTTTATTGGTTCCGCTATCGGGACGGAACCAATAATGGCGAGCCGTTATTTTTATTTATTTATTTTTTATTTTTTATAAAATTAGATTACAAAAATAAATCATAATAAAAATAATCCTATTTATGTTTTAACAATTAAGACCTGAAAAGACTAATTTAAGACATTTTAATACCAATTAAGGCCTTAGTTTTATTTTGAAGAATTCAATGCCTTTTAAGACTTTTTAAGGACTCGCAGGAACCCTGTTTTTAGATTTTGTAATGTTGGTTTGCACTTCCCGGCCACCGTAAAGATCAAATCCAAATCACAATATTATATACCATGTGCTGTTTTGTTTCTAGAGGAATTTTCTTGGTACCGGTATTTCAAGATTTCTGATGAATGAGTTCTAAAACCTTCTTCCCCACCTCTAAACTGAATGGAAATGACTAAACCTGTTTGGGGTATACATATTTTCAACCTCACGTGTAAATCTAGTGAGTGCTGTACTCTGTACCAACCCCAGTCCTTGTATGTAAAATGTTAGTCAGCATCAGCTGTGGAGTTACTCACAGATCCTTTCTCTATCACTCTGTTGAGCATTATAACAGCTTTAGAACATTGCTCCCAGATCATCAACCAGAAATGGCCACACGTGTTCCTCAAAGGGCCCTGCCACAGACAAACACAGAAGGAACAAAGACATGAGGTTAAAATGTTTGTTAGATATTGAGTAAAAAAGTGAGACAGTGAGCATCCTTACCTGAGATAGAATGTAAGCTCTTTCTGCTTCTTTTACAGCCACTAGGCTTGCGTTAATGTAGTCATTTTCGGAGTTTTCAAGCTTTACTCGACTGTGATCATCTAATGAAAGAAACAAGAGGCAGCCAGGTGATTACAACGATGGGATTCTCAGCTACGTCATAAAAGAAAGCTGCTGAAGAGACTCACATGGGCTGACATCTCTGTAGCGATTCAGATTCCTGTTCATTGGAAGTTTAGCTATCTTGTACGGATATTCAATGGCTTGGTTGCGGATGTCCTGATGCAGTGAGGAAGACAGACCGAACGGTTAGTTATTAGGATTTAGATAAACATCATAAAACATACAGAGAGATCTTTATCACAGACACTTAGCTTTGCTTAATTCACTGACAGTCTCAGCATGTCGTAAGGGAAAACATTTTCTAATAGATTTCCTACACCTTAAGAGTGCATGTGGGTGGATGGATGGAGAGGCAGCGATTACACACATTCAAGGTTTTTCAAGGAGAAGGTGGCTTTCAATGTGGCAAAGCAATACTAATCACAGCCTGGAGAAATAAACTCTAAATTGCTTTATTTTATCCTTGAAATGAAAGATATTCACATGCCTGATCAGCATCACAAAAATTCAGTATATTTCTAGTGCAGAATTGGAATCTTTTTTTTATTTGTTTACTTTATTTCATAATGTTGCGCAATGCTGAAGGGAATAGTGCTTTTTATTTATGTAAAATTCTGATAATAAAGGGCATTGGTTATTATTATTAATTGTTATAATTTGTTATTTTGTATATCTCGAAACAGATTCTCAACTGAATGAGTGATATCTTTATGATATCTTTATGTTTCCAGCTTTCCTTTTTGATAAAGCTTAGAGTGGTTCAGGTTATCCTGAGCTATCTCTATAGTTATGCTGCTATAGGCTTAGACTGCTGGAGGACATAGGGACCCTTTTCCCCACATTCTGTTTCATTCTACCTCTATCCTCCCATTCTACAGAATCTGTTAGTTCAAACCATCCATTTTCTGTCACGCTTATCCCAAGCGGGGTCACAAAGGGTGCTGGTGCTCCAGCTGTCAACAGGCAAGAGGTGGGGTCCACACTGGACACGTCGCCAGTCCATCGCATGGCAACACAGAGACACAAAACCATTCATTTACCACACACTCACACATAAGGAGAATTTAGAGAAGCCAATTAACCTGACAGTCATGTTTTTGGACTGTGGGAGGAAGCTGGAGTACCCGGAGAGAACCCACGCAAGCACAGGGGAGAACATGCAAACTCTATGCAAGAAAGGGGCAGAAATCAAACCTGGAACCTTCTTGCTGCAAAGGCTGTGTTCAGTTCAAACTCTAACAGTTGGCCTCAGCAGATGGCCGCTCACACTGAGTCTGGTTCTGCTGGAGGTTTTTTTCCTGTTAAAAGGGAGTTTTTCCTCTCCACTGTCGCTACAAGCATGCTTAGTGTGAGGGATTGCTGAAGAGTCAATGCAATCAGCTGGCTTTCCTTAGAAAACTTTCAATCAATCTGACTGGGCATCTGGTGTTCCAGGCACATCCCCCCGGGAGGAGGCCCAGGGGGAGACCCAGGACACGCTGAAGGGACTATGTTTCTTCGCTGGCCTGGGAGAGCCTTGGGGTTCACCTGGAGGAGCTGGCCCAAGTGGCTGGGGAGAGGGACGTCTGGGCCTACCTACTAAAGCTGCAACCCCTGCGACCCGACCCCCGATAAGCGGAAGATGGATGGATGGATGGATGGATGGATGGATGGATGGATGGATGGATGGATGATGGATGGATTGTAAAGTGCCTTGAGATGACATGTGTTGTGAATTAAGCTGAATTGAATTTACCTACATTGTAATTATCACATCATTCATTCAGTTAATCTATTCAAATCCTGCAGAAATATTATCATCCATATATTAAAGCTTAAATCAAATCCCATGCTGCTGTCAGTCAACTTTATATCAAAACAAACTTAACGGGTTTAAAAAAAAAACTCACGCTTAAAGCTCTTATTTTAGTTGTACAACGTTAAATAAAACCACCAGCATAGAGTCTAATAAACAAACTAATAAATAAACCTGCTCCTGACTCTGACCTCCCTTCAGCCCAGAGAGGCGAACAGGGTTAGGGCTGCAGGTCCTCAGGAGGAACCAAACTTCACCTAAACGTGTCAGACTGCTGATAAAACACACGCGCCTTTCTCTGGAAGTCTTGCTGAGTTCTCAGAAACTGCAGCTGACGTCAGCGAGCGTCAGCCAGCAGCAGAGGGCTGCAGATGCTACGGAAGTTAGCGCTGCTGCTAGCGGCTACTGCTGCGGGTTCAGTCTGCGCCACGCACAGTGATAAAACCCACTACTCAGCATCGGAATACGAGCAAAAATAAAACCAAAAGAGCATCCAAACACAGGGAGATGAGTCTGACAGATGAAGCCGGCTAAGTCAATTACCAACAGATCGTCATAGAAACATGAGAGGCCCTCGGTGTCCAGACTTACATTGTAAAGGTTCTGCCATTTTCCGGACGAATCCATTTTCTCGAATTCTCGCTCCATTACGGCGCGGTTGGTGAGCAGAGAAGTCAGCGGGGTGACCTCAGGGTGTTTTCGGCACCGTTCTCCAACTTATTGCTGTCGGTTAGCCATCTGAGGAGCAGTTTGTGTGACCTGGTGAATCCCTGCGGGGAGTCAGTGGGCTCCTCTGTGAGTCCCGCGGGTTGCCAGGTTTGCTCAGTTCAGTCGCTCGTTTCGCACTTTTGATCCCCTAACAGCTTAGTTATTATGAGCCTGACCTGGAGACGCTTCATTTGATATGTGATCATCTGACAGCCAATGACGTCCCAGGATTTGACTACTACGTAATCCTACTTAGTAATATAATCCCTTCTTACATCTACTTTCAATCAAACCCTTCACATCAATGTTATGTGATTATTTCTCTAAGTGGTCAATATTTTGGTTTGATTGCTGATAGATAAGCAGTTTCATGCAGACTTTAATTAAATCCAGATGAATAACAGTTAATGAGCATATGTAGACATTTAGATAATAAATCATTTTTCTATGTTCTGATCCTTTTTCTAGTTGAATTTTAGGAAATATGATAGTTAAGGACACTGTTTAAACCCAATTAAGTGGGAAAAAAACAGCTTTCCTTACGGTAACCATGAGTAAATCAAAGAAAACCCTTTTAAATAAACCCTAATAAAAAAAAAGCATCAAACCAATGTGGCTGGTACAAACTGAAGAATGCTGGGGACTAAATAACACATAATTAGAAGGTATAGATTGGACTGAACCCTTCAGGATTTAAATTAGTTTTTTTTTTTAATGACTGCTTATCAATTCTATTTCAATTCAGTTTATGTCTATGGTGCAAATTCACATAAACACACATTATCTAAAGGCGCTCTACAATTCAACCACATCATACTGTCAGATTGATTAAAAGTTTTCTATCTAAGGAAAACCAGCTGATTGCATCGACTCATTGACTTGAAGGCAATCCCTCACACTAAGCAGGCCTGTAGTGACAATGGAGAGGAAAAACTCCCTTTTAACAGGAAGTAATCTCCAGCAGAACCAGGCTCAGTGTGAGCGACCATCTGCTGAGGCCGACTGGGGTTCAAGGAGACAGAAGCAGAGATAGAAAAGGCAACTGTAAAAGGCGGCCCTGTCCAGGAAACACACAGCCAGCCAGACGAGCCCTGAGCCAGCTCCCATGTCAGAGGATGAAGAGAACACATCCATTTAGTCACAGCTAGAGAAACAGGACTACACTGAAAAACAGGCAGATCTCCAGCATCTACAAACAAGGGTGTTGATGGAAGCAGCACAGCTGATATTTCTCTCCACTGCAAGACAGCAGTGCTACCCACTGCCCAACTGTGCAGCCCCACAATAACCCAATTAAAGCAAAGTTTTTGTTTTGTTTTTACAATTTAGTTCAATATTTTAAATGTAAAAAAAATTCACTGGCCACAAAAAAATAAATCTGAATCAATTTTAATGAAAGTATTGGTTAGGGGTCAGTCATTGTTAGTCTACTACAGCAAAGAAAAGAAAACACTTATTTTAACTCTATTGTTACTTTTTATAAATATTTCATGAATCTAAAATAGCTTTTTAAATCATATCAGTTCAGTGCAAACTTATTCCATTCATGTTTGTCAATCTAATGTTGAATTGAAGAAGATCAAATGAAGTCAAGCCTCCTTAAAGGATCAATAAAGGCCTTTAATTCAGCATCTCTATTTCTAGCTGCCTCTTCCTCAGTCACCAAAAGTGGCTTATTGGTTAATTTGACATAGTTCAGTTGTTTTCATACATTTTGTTGTTGACTTTTGGTCCCTGTTTTAGTAATATTACTTGATACAACCTTTTCCAACATTCTAGGGTATAAAAGAAAAGAAAATGTAACTTTATTGATCTCACAATTGAGAAAATAACTCTCTGCATTGAACCCATCCCCTTGGGGAGCAGTGGGCTGCCACTGTGCAGCACCCAGGGAGCAGTGTGAGGTTAAGGGTCTTGCTTAGAGACCCAGAGTGTCGCCTGTGGGGATTGAACTGGGTACTTGCAACCTTCTCAGAGCAAAAGTGCAATGCTCTATGGTACCAGCTTTTATTACTTATTAAGTAATAAAAGCTGGTACCATTTGTGCTAACATCCTATTGGGTTAATATTGGTATCGGAAAATTCTCAAAGCTGCAATGAGCTGGAGCAGAGATAATAGCCTGATCCTGAATATGAAAAAGACAAATCAGATCATCACTGACTTCTGGAAGAACCGGCCTAACCACGCTCCACTGCTCATCAACAGCTCAGCTGTAGAGTTGGTCAACAGCACCAAATTCTTGGGGGTGCTCATCACAGACACTCTCATCTGGAATGTAAACACCACCTCATTGGTCAAAAGGGCACAAAAACTCATGAACTTCCTGGGGGGATGAGGAGAGCCCACCTGCCCCCACCCATCCTCACCACCTTCTACAGAAGCACCATAGAGAGCGTTCTGACCAGCTGTCTCACTGTGTGGTGTGGAGGCTGCAGCGCCTCAGACTGGAAGAAGGTGAGGAGAGCAGTAAGAACAGCAGAGAAGATCATCTGGGCTCCTCTTCCCCCCCCCCACCATGGACTGTTCTCCCCGCTGTTCTCTGGGAAGAGGTTTCACAGCATTCGATGCAGGTCCAGCAGATTCTGCAACAGTTTGTTCCCCACTGCAATCAGACTGCCAAGCTGTTGAAAAACTCTAAATCATGTAAAACACTCTGCATAATACTCATAACACCAAACCAAAACACTGCAGAATTACACCATATCTATTTAATGCTCTGAACTTCCATATCAATGCATTTTTTTGCACCACATTTTTTCTCCCTCATTGTTTGCATTTGATCACTGCTGCAATTTAAGAAATGGAAATGGCATGAAAGCTGTACAAAACGACTATAAAATTTGTGTAAGTCTAAATCTAATAGCGTATCATATTGGAAATGAAAAAGTTGTGTGTCGGGACACCCCTATTAATTCAGTTTATTTATATAGCACCAATTCACAACACATTTCATCTCAAGGCACTTTGAAATTCAACCAGATCATCCAGTCAAATGAATTAAAAGTTTTCTAAAACTGGAAAACCAGTTGATTGCATTGACTCATTGACTCAAAGGCAATCCCTCACACTAAGAATGCTTGGAGCGACAGTGGAGAGGAAAAACTCCCAAGAAGAAACCTGAATAAACAATCAGAGAAACAGGACTACACTGAAAAACAGGCCAAGCTTGAACATCTATAAACAAAGGCGTTGATGGCAGCAGCACAGCTGATATTTCTCTCCAGGATGGTGTCACAGCCAAACAGGAACACACAAGATGAAGCTACTATGATGAGAAAAAGCACAGAGAGTAGAATTTTGAGATTGAACAGATTCTGCAGAGTAGGATAATAGAGATAGAATGAAGCAGAATGATGAAAAAGGGGTCCTTATGTCTTCCAACAGTCTAAGAATATAGCAGCATAACTATAGAGATAACTCAGTTTAACCTGAGCCACTCTAACTATTTGGCTCATCCCTAGGCCTTATCAAAACAAAACAAGCAAAAAAAACAGTAAGGCATATAGCCTTTGTTTGATTTGTTTAGAAAATGCCTCAGCTTTATACATGTTTTATAACAAGACATTTAAAGCATACAGATATGCATATTAAGAATAAACCTACACTAAATTGCATAGTTTTAAAAAGTTTGGGGTTTATTTTTAAACATTTGTGCACATAATAAACGAGGCAACACACACACACACACACACAAAAATAATTGGAAATCCACTGGAATTTTTAAGTCTTGTGACCTGTAATTTAACACTGAATATTTTATATATCAAATTTAACTAATGACTGTACCACGAGTAACCATAATGTAGCCCATGAGAGCAGACATGGCAACTTTCTCGATTACACGGTTTTACCTGTAAACTTACAGCAGAAACTTTTTTATTTTCTTTACGGAATAAAATCCATTTTTAGTTTGTAGTCATATATATTTCTTTTAATTGTGCTTTTTAAATACAATATGTATTTTTATCCAATTATTCGGCGTTGCATCTGATCAATCTGCTCTCTTAGGTTTATCTGAGGACGCCCCCTGGTGGCCGATTCTGCTCAGCAGCACATCAGCGGCGCCAAACTTCAGCAGAGCAGGAGCCACATGACAAGCCTGCTAGCAAACCACCGCTTCTAGAGGCACCGGAACCATGTTCGTTGCTCACAGGATCGCAGCTGACCATAAAGATCTAATCCACGATGTTTCCTATGATTTCCACGGCCGGAGAATGGCGACTTGTTCCAGCGACCAAAGTGTCAAGGTGAGCTCTATGCTAAAGCTTAGCCTAGCATGTTAGCATCTGCTCCCCATGTCAGACAGAGCTCCTAAAATCAACCCACTAGCCTGTTCTGACTGGGGGAGAAGAGTGTAAACATGTTCAATAGAGACAGCTTTACTTCACAATCAATGTTAACGTATCAAACCGACAGCCATGACTGAGTCGAATAAATGACAGAAGTAGATTTTTTAGAGCTCTGTTGAGCTATCGCGAGACTAAATTGGACTTCGTGTTTCAGGTTTGGGATAAAAGCGAGAACGGAGAGTGGCAATGCACCGCCAGCTGGAAGGTAAACAATCACCTCCTGCTTTCTACAACTTCTCCCAGTCACGTGCTTCACATCTACTGTTTACAATCTTGCTTCACATAAACTAGGGGCCATAAAGATAAGCTTTGGAGGCATTTTCAGGGATCACATTTATATAATAATAAAATTAATAATTATTGAACTATTGATCTAAAGCATAGGTCTTCAACGTTTTCTAGGTCAAGGACCCCCAAACTGATTGTGAGATGGAGTGCGGTCCCCCTAATTATATATATTGTATGAAATAGTGTTATATCAAACTGGTCCTATAGTCAATCTATTACATATAGAGTGACCCTGGGATTATTTAAGTATTTCTGATTCTGATGTCTTGTTGATGGGACAGGTGTTGTGAATGAAACAGTGCTTGAAAGAGCTCCTGTGTGCCATTGAATGCATTGAAGACTGAAATACATCTTCTGCATCCATTTATCATTTACTACAGTGTGATGAATTTATGTTAATGTGTATTTAAATACATTTCAATTAGCAGAAAAAATTGCAGGGGGAATATGAAAAAAAAAAGTGTAATCAACCAAAACTTTTGTGACCCCAATGAAGTACCTCCTTGGACCCCCTAGGGGTCATGGACCCCCTGTTGAAGACCTCTGATCTAAAGTGGTTGGAGAAATTAACTCTCTGCATTAAACATCCCCTTTGGGAGCAGTGGGCTGCCATTGCAGTGTGGGGTTATGGGTCTTGCTCAGGGACCCAGAGTGGCAGGCCGTGGAAGTGGGTTTTCAAACTCAGAACCTCAGTATTCCAAGCTCTATGTCCTAACCACTAGGCTGCTGCTCTGTCAGACCAGGATACCCATAGTCAATACTCATGCGCCAGAAGTCAGATTTGCGTTTATCCCTTTAGTTTGTATGAAAAATACACTTTAAACTACCACAATGGGCGTGTATCGCTTTAGTCATGTACACAAAAAAAGGTTAGATCGCCATATGCTTCAAAAAACACCAAAAAGGAAGTAATTCAATTATTTTTTTGTACACGATTAAAGGGATACATGCCCCTTGAAGTAGTTTAAAGTGTATTTTTCGTATAAAACTAAAGGGATAAACAGGTTTTGACTATGGCTATGCTGGTCTGAACAGGTATGCTCATCTGACAGAACACCACAACTCCCCTAATTAACACACATGATGTATAATGGTTTAATCACTTTTTTTATGGTTCAGAATCTAAAAAGCTTCAGAAACACTGATCTGAACCATTCATCCTTTTTCCAATATCAGCATTTTTTTTTAACAGCTGGTGAGAAAACACAAACTTGTCTGCATGATATCTGTAAATACAGGTTTGACCATAAAACCGATAATAATATTGGATCTTGGTAACGGCCCCTATTTTTAAATCTTCAATCATGATACTGATTTTTCTTTCATTCTTTCGGTTGTCCACCTATGATCTTTTTCCTTATTCCACATGAATAACTGTTATTTATGTGTTCAGAATTCAGTTCTTTCTGAATGCAGTTAAACTGGTGTCAGTCTGAAAACTGTTCCCTGTTCTGACCTGCAGACACACAGTGGGTCCGTGTGGAGAGTAACCTGGGCTCATCCAGAATTCGGCCAAGTTCTGGCCTCCTGCTCGTTCGACAGAACAGCCGCTGTCTGGGAGGAGATTGTCGGGGAGTCCAACGACAAGCAGAGAGGGCTGAGCCACTGGGTTGGTAAAATAACTCAGAAGCGGACGGTCCCATTCTTCTCAGTGGATTGCTTACCCAGTCTGTCCATGTTGTTCCTGTTCAGATAAAGAGAACCACACTAGTGGATAGTAGAACATCGGTGACAGACGTGAAGTTTGCTCCTAAACACATGGGTCTGATGCTGGCCACCTGCTCTGCGGACGGAGTGGTGAGGATCTACGAAGCCCCTGATGTGATGAACCTGAGCCAGTGGTCCCTGCAGCATGAGATCTCATGCAAGCTAAGCTGCAGCTGCATATCATGGAACCCTTCAAGGTTAGATGGCTTCATTTACTTTGCACTAGTGATGGGTCCAGCAGCCCATATGCATCGGTGAATGCATGGAGCCCATAGAGCTTATCACTGTACTGGTGCACGTGTCGTTTAATGAATGTCATGTGACCGATACAGGAGTTGGTTCTAACTGACTGACTCATTAAACTATGTTTAAAAACATGATGCATCTGCTAAAAATCTGCATCTAAAAATATCAAAGATATTTTCAATTTAAACATAGATATTAAATAATATAATATGAGCTACAATAACTTAAATGATGTCATTGTACTGGCCTAGGTCATGAAATGAATTAAATGTAGTCTGTCCACTAAGCTGCCTGTAGTGGCCTTAAAGGTCCAGCAGGTGTCAGTATTCTGTGACTGTATCAACGCAGTATCAATACAGTTTGGCAATGTGTTGAAAAACTTCAAGATGCCTCATTAACCATCACAACTTTGCAGCATGGATGAAATAAAAAAAAAAAAAAGATTTATTATAACTTTGTATTTTTCCGACCTGGAAATGCACAAGGGAATAGAATCACTGTCTTCATATTGTAGGGCTGTGCGCTGATCGGGGTTACGCCATTTTAAAGGAGTGTTCAAATGTCTAGAGGATGAAAAGGTAGTGGACTCTTAAGTTTCCCAATGCACATTGAAAAGTAGCATTATGAGCAGATATTTCCCAGAAAAACAAACATGGGTCGACCCGCTAACAATCAGCATTTTGCTCCCTTCCCATTGGCCAAAAAAGCTGGGTCTGACCCTCGCTGTCAGCTGCGTGGCCTCTGTCCCCCTGCAGCTGCATGTCTGATGACATTATCACGCTGGGTTAGTGGTGATGATGTCACCAGTGCATGTAAAGCTGGTTGCTTTCCAACCAGCTTTAAACTGTTTTTTTTTTTTTTTTTTTTTTAGGCCAGAAAGAAATGTGTAAAACTCATTTTTTTCTGTCCAGAGAATCACTCATGATAGTTAAGAGTGAAATAAGTAAATAATCCAATTAAGCACAAGTTGACAATATTTAAGTTATTCTTTTGAGGAGGAAGAAGAAAAATCTAAGATAAAAAAAAAATATGCAAACAGCATTTTGAAGACAATTTGCTTCCCATCCAGGAAGCCTTTTCAATTTCGAAACGTCTTCAAACTTGGAAACAAAGTCCAGTAAGGTTTTTTTTTTTTTTACTTTTTTGGAATGACTATGACCTGGATGACTGAGAATCTTCACCAGCAAACAGCACTTAGATAGCCTGCTGACTAAGTATCGATACCTTTCAGAGTATGGATGTTTGTTGACAACCCTGGAATATTTTATGAATTCTTTTTCTAGAATAAAACTACAGTCGGATAATAGGAATGTTAGTCGCCCAAAATAAGAAAATCCTTTTTCACTCTAAACAAGCTAATGTGGGAAGTTCCAGATTAAATATTGGTCAGAACACAGTTTGTGTTCATTTAACCCAACAGGTTCCCTCAGAGCATCAGATGCTCACATTTACAATGCTGGGTTCTCTAAACCCAGTAAGTTGGGTTGTTAATATGATTATTTTACACTTTATAATAGTTGCTATAGTTATTATTTCATGATATAATTATAATTTAGGGCTTAAGCAATTAATCGGATTAATCAAGATTTATTTATATTAAAATAATTGATGAATCGTTAACTGGAGTATAGAGACTGTAAAACAGGCCTTTAGCTGACAGTCACCCGCTTAGAGCAGGAACTATACTAAAAAAAATATGTAAATATTTATGATAAAAAAAACTAAAAAAATGTTCTCCCCTGTCAACATGCCAGATCCAGAACTCCACATATGGAAAAGTTTTAGTTTCACCTGGTTTAATTCTGTATAAAATCTACTTTGGCTATCCAGCTATTAATCCAAAAATAATCGTCAGATTAATTAATTATCTAAATAATTTTCAGTTGCAGTCATATTATAATTTTATAATATTGTAACTATTACTTATTATCATGATTATAATTTTCATGATTTCTCTTGATCTGATTTTGGTTTTTCTTCCTTTATTTACATGATAAAAATGACACAGTGTTAAAAAATGTAATTCTTAATATGAACCAGAGAGAAACAATAAAAAATGAAACAAAATGTTCCCCCTGGAGCGAGTGACAACACACGGCATGAGCGCTTTTTCTCTCAAACAATGAGCCTTGTGTTCATAACTCCATATAGTCCATATATTATAATATTTTTGTAATTATTACAATATATGTTACTATATACCAATGGAGACTTTTGGTGGGTAATAACCATCATGTTGGCACATAACAGTTTCTATTACTGGCCACCACATACTAGCAGCTTACAAAGTAAATTGTAACTTGTGATCAGGTTAATAAAGCATTATAGGTCTGAACTCAAGTTACATATAAAGAGAAGATTGGCTTGTCGTCTTCTAGGTTTAGTTTTCTGTTATATGCCAAGTAATAAACTGCATTTTTCTAGATAACACGTTAATTTATTGCTTTAGGTGAAATGGCTGATAACGGTTTGACATCTAAGAAGTCCGATTTTAGCTTGTCTGCCTAAAATTTGAAGCACAGCACCTACCAAAATTCTCCATAAAGTGTTTTTTGTTAACTATTAATAAAGTGTAACTTGCTATGTTAACACCATGTTATTACATGGTTATTAAAGAAAGCTTTGCCTAAGCATTTAATGGTTGAAGGACGGATCGTTTGGTAACATCGTCCCAGTAAATTATCCAGGACGCCGCCGCCGTTCAGTTCTTTCTCTGTAATGTTGCTTCCTGTTTTCTCGCAGCTCTCGAGCCCACCCCCCCATGTTCGCTGTGGGCAGCGATGATAGCAACGTGGCGTACGGTGGGAATGTTCAGATCTACGAATATAATGAAAACACAAGGTAGGAATCCCTTCAGCGGCGGGCGTCCGCAGGTGCATGAAGATAATCTGTTTTAATCACTTTTCTTTATTTAAGGAAATACAGTAAAGCAGAATCGCTGATGACGGTCACCGATCCAGTCCATGACATAGCATTCGCCCCCAACCTGGGGAGATCTTTCCACGTGCTCGCCATCGCAACTAAAGATGTCAGAATATTTAAGCTTGTTCCTCTGAGGTAAAATCTTTCTCTTTTTTATGTTTATTAGCTGTAGAAATGTTGACCTGTTATGTTTATGTCTGTATTCAGCCTTTTGCAGGTGATTTAAAATGACCGGTCTTTGTTCTGGTTTCCTCTGTCAGGAAGGAGACCACCACCTCGGGACCCACCAAGTTTGAGGTGCGGATTGTGGCTCAGTTCGACAACCACAACTCCCAGGTGTGGCGTGTGAGCTGGAACATCACCAGCACCCTGCTGGCCTCGTCTGGGGACGACGGCTGCGTTCGCTTGTGGAAAGGTGGGCAGTTTGTTGAAGGATTGTAGTTTAGTAAAAACTCATCACTTCTTTTTTGATCTCCAGTTTAGGGTTTTATTTAGATACTTGACACAATACAGGTAATTAAATAATCTGATTAGATTATCACATCAACCCTCAAAAAAAGTGGATTTTAAAGGAAAAGTCCGGTCAGCAAGTTATAATCAGTGGATCATTATCTATACTTAAAACTAATATTTCTGCAGTGATTTAATGGATTTAGCATTAATAAGCAAAAAATTAAAACAATAATTTTTGTCATGATCACTGAGTCTGGGAGCGGCCATTTTTGCCCAAATATAGTAGAACCTCCCACCTGGCATCTTCAGGCAGTGACATCACGGTGCGGTAAGCCTAGCGCCATTCTCCCCGCTTTACAAGCAAAATCAATGGGAACTACTAGACACATCTGCAATCAACAACAATTATTGAAGATTTCCAGAGGACTTCACCATTGGAATTCACCAGAGCTATAGTGAAACTGACAATGCCCACGTGCATGGCAGCTGGATGCTGGAATACATCGAGTAAAAGTGAAAAAAAAAAGAAAAAAAAAAGTTATTTCTCCATTCCCGATTTCTGATCCTCCATGGACGGGTTTGTCATTTGCCAACTTCTGGCCAGAGAAAAAACACGTAATATGTAGCCAACATTTGGAAAAAGAATGTTTTCAAGATGACTTGGATAATAGCGCGTTGTGACAAACACCAGATACAGCACTGGGACTTGATTAACAGCCGATACCGCACCGTGACGTCACAAACCAGTAGGTGGCAGTAGTGTTCTTTGACAAACATGGATGCCTCCAGTAAAGCACATTCAAATGAAAGTTACTCTTAATTAAAAACACTGATCATTTATTGAACAGTATGTAATAATATCATATTAAAATTACTTTCAGAAGTTTGAATTTTAAATATGACCGGACTTCTCCTTTAAGGCTGGACGATATGGCCAAAACTTAGATCAAGATATATTCCTAATTTTAGTTCTGATCTCAATATAAATCATTTTAGATTAGATTAGATGAGCTTTATTGATCTCAATGCGGAGAAATCCACTTGTCACATATTGGCACGGTTTCGTGGTCACGGTTTTCGGTTCGGTATATGTTGATTGTTAGCCTGACATGTTGGTTGTGTTGCTGTTAGCATAAACAGACCGTGTTGCACAATGCTTGCACACTGTCGCACTTTTATCCACAACTTTCTATCCGCCGTCATCGTAGGTCACTCTAAATGCAAAGTGGTCCTATACAGCAGACCTATAAAGTGCTGCTGGCTCCTGTTCTTTCCCACTCGCCATTCCGACACAATTCTCCACAACAACTGATTTTTTTCTGCTACGCCCGGCTACGCTGCTTCGCTTTTTCTTCTTCTTGTTTACTACTGGTGGTTGGCTTTGATCGCAGTACCGCCACCTTCTGCTCTGGAGTGTACACGCTTCGCCTATGAGAAAAAGGAGCAGCGCATGAACCGAACGCAACACAGACGAACCGAGCGGTTCGGACGGTTTTCATAAACCGTTCCATCCCTAGTAAAACCATATAAAAAGGACTATAAAACAGGAGTAAAAAAGTAATTTTATTCCAGGTCAGGTCGTAACAGGACAGAGAAATTGCTTGGAGTTTGCACAGCTGTGGGCTCAAAAAACATCAGCGAGCGTCCAGCAAAGATTAAGCAAAGATTGAGCCCTGAACAAGGTCATCTCCTCCTTCTTATCCCCATGAATCCATGTTTTGCATCAGGTGGAAGCTTAGCTGTCCGTATCACAAACTGACACGCCATCCATGCCTTGAACTTTTACGCATCTTGCCTCTTTACCCCAGGATTACACATAGCTCTCCTTTATCTGTCCGGCTCCAAGATGTGCCCATTTCCTGTGTATTTTTAAAGACACGAAGGCTGTCCTGATTAGATGACCTCCGTACACACAATGACATCCACCATGTGAAGGAAGGCCTTCTACTCTGTCTAATCTGACTAACAGAATAACAATGGACATGATGTTTAAAGAATAAACCTAACAGCTCCCCCTGAGAAGTTACCGTTTTTACAGGTAACTTAAAAGACAGTAGGGGACAACTTATCCAACGTGTGCCAGTGTTTTTTCCAGATTTTTCGTACATCAGGCATACGCTAGTCTAAGTCGTCATGGTGTGATGGGCTTTATTCCAAAAAATTTAATAAACAATCTACTGGGCTTTGTTTCCAAGTTTGAAGACGTTTCTCTTCCCATCCCGGAAGCTTTTTCAATTCAAAATGTCAAGAAAAGCATTGAGTTCGAGCTTTATACAGTAGCCAAAAAGCCTTGTTTTAGTTTATAAAACCTGCAAATTCAATCAGACGAACGGCTCCGCCCCTTTGGAACGGGGGGGGTCAAAGCCTTGAGATAACATGTGTTTCTGCTGCCTTTAAACATGGACAACTTCAGTTGGATGTTGTCCTCCCCAATAGAAACTGCAGCCCATTTGTGAAACAAAAAATCCGTAAATGCAGTTTTGTGTTTTATTATCACATAGAATCTTAAAGATAATCCTATTGTGAGAACTCAGCTCTGTACTGTTCAACCTGATGTAGGTTTTTATTTGGCCAGTACAGACCAGAGGAAGCAGGCCTGATTTTTTTGTTGTTGTTTCTCTGCAGCAAACTACATGGAGAACTGGAAGTGCACGGGCATCCTGAAGGGGGACGGCAGCCAGCTGACGGGCTCGTCCGGTCAGCCCATGGCCCTGAGCACGGTGGTGGGCTCCTCTGTTCAGAACTCCCAGAACATCCTGAATGGGATGGCAGCAGGAAGGTAGGTGGTGTCGTGTGTCTGACGCCACTCACCCGGTCCGAGACCAGCCTGCTAGAACTGCTAACCTAACTGTGCCTCACACTGACTTGGAGTGCCGCTGACCACTTACCCAGCGCTGCCCTGAGGAGCTTCCATCCTGTCAGGATCGGTTCCATGGAGCTGCTCTGTGCCGCTTCGGCTTCTTCTTAGTTTGTCCTGATGCATGTGATGAGTGGCGGTATTTCCCCCCCATTTTTTTCCAGTGTTGAGGACTAATTGTTTGCCCCATTATTAACGAAGAGCAAAATAAATGCGTTTGTATACATTTGATTTGTGACCATTTTTTCTGCCACTGTCAGCAAAATGAATGAACTTCATGAAGTTATTGTTTCCTTCACTTCGCGGGGGATGCTGTCCATTATGAGTTTAACAAAAACACTCCAAGTTCTCCTCATTTGTCTTTCCTGATGAACACATTGTTGGGCACGTGTTTCAAAAAAAAAAAGGAGCTTTAATGAATCCTTTTAACCAACTTTAAACACAGGAATGTGAGTTTGAATAAAGCTGTTTACATTTTCAAAATGGCCGACATTCTTCATTTACACACATTTAGCTTTTAAGCAATGAAAACTCTTCATTCATTTTGCTCATGAATGTTACCATAATCACCTTTTTTTTACATTTCCACGGTTAAAACTAGTTTTATTACTTGAGGAATAATAACTTAGGATCTCACCAATAGAAAAGCATGAATGCCAGAAAGAAAAGGTTTGATTATGACTTCAGTCTAGCAGCATACCAGTAGACCTGTGGTCGTATTTATGTTAAACTTAGCAGATGTTTACGCTGCTAAAATCATTTTAACAAAGTTTTACGTTTTGGGAACGGTGTATTTTCTCTTAATTTGAGCAGGTTAATAAGATTATCTGCCAATGGAATTAATGTTCGCCCCAAAACTAATATCATTTGATATGTATCTCTGCTTCTGTCTCCTTGAACCCCAGTCGGCCTCAGCAGATGGCCGCTCACACTGAGCCTGGTTCTGCTGGAGGTTACTTCCTGTTAAAAGGGAGTTTTTCCTCTCCACTGTCGCTACAAGCATGCTTAGTGTGAAGGATTACCTTTGAGTCCATGTAATCATCTGGTTTTCCTTTGATAGAAAACTTCAATCTGACTGTATGATCCGGTGAACTGTGAAGTGCTTTCAGATGACGTGTTGTGAATTGGCCCTATAGAAATAAACTGAATTGAATTGATATTATGCAATTGAAATATTGATAATGAAGCTGGATGTTTTTCTTATTTTAAATGTAAATCTTCTCCATTGAAAAATTGATTTGATTGCTCAGATCAAGAGGAAATGCACTTATTTCCAGAAATATGACTTATATTTATTTTGCAATGTAACCCATGACTGTAAACCTAATGGATGATTCCCTCTAACATCGATAACATCAGTTCATCCTTACCATCTGCTTCAGATAGATGTTTTACTCTGTATTTTAGGTTGTGGGATTTCTCTACACAAAGGACCCCAGCTGGGGATGCACAGAAACTAAATGTGGCTCCTCTTCATATCATATATGTTATTTAGGATATGAACCCCTTGAACACCAGTAGGCCGCTCACACTGAGCCTGTTTCTGCTGGAGGTTTCTTCCTGTTAAAAGGGAGTTTTTCCTCTCCACTGTCACTATAAGCATGCTTAGTGTGAGGGATTGCCTTCGAGTCAATGAGTCGATGCAATCAACTGGTTTTCCTTATACAGAAAACTTTGAATCACTTTCACTATGATCTGGTTGAACTGTAAAGTGCCTTGAGATGATGTGTTGTGAATTGGGGCTATAGAAATAAACTGAATTGAATACAGGGTTGTAAGTGATATTTATAAATATCCTAAAAATGTTCTGCTCCAGTGAAACGCCTCCCAATCCTGCTCTGTTTCACACTTCAGTTTTAAAATCACCTTCATAGTAGAACTAATCAGAATCAGAAATACTTTAATAATCCCAGAGGGAAATTACTTGTATTACACGCTCCATTTACAGTTTTTATATATATATATATATATATATATATATATATATATATATATATATACACACATCCAACTACACAATATAATAAAGACAAGAAATAAGAATAAAAAGAGATAACTACACAAAAAAGCACAGAAACGCTCTGAAAAATACCTCATTATAGAGGATAATACTTCAAAGAGTCACTGTGAAAAAACGAGCAATCAAAAAAAGATAAAAAATAAGAAAGTTAAGAAACTAAGCTGCAGGGATGAAAACCATGTTGCCCATATTATTTCAATTTTTTATAATTTAGTTTCTCCATCAGGGCTGAAAGAATTGATTTGGTTATCGATCATTCCAATAACCGTAAACTAACTGGGTAATCTAATAAAACTGTTGAATGGAGCCTAAAGACTCAATATGCAGTTTGATGAAAGAAAAACCACTCAGAGCAGAAATGACTGAAACTATCTGGAAAATATACAGGGTATCCATCCCGATACAACTTTACAATTCAGCAGAGATGGACCATCAGCCGGCGATACTTTGGGCTGATTTTAACTTTTATTGTCTTCTATCAGTGTCAGTAGATTTCCAGCTGTCTTTGTGAGAGGCACGGTACACACTGGACAGGTCGCCAGTCCATCGCAGGACAACACAAAGACACAATTAACCTAAAAGTCCTGTTTTTGGACCCGTAGAGAACCCACGCATGCACAGGAAGCCATGTAACCTCCATGCTGAAAGAACCCAGGCCAGGAATTGAACCCGGAGCCTTCTTGCTGCAAGGCAGCAGTGCTACCCGCTAAGCAGCAGAGACTTAAAGATTTTTAGACTGAGGCAGAGCTAAAACTGTTTGGTAAACAAAAGGGGGATGTTTGGGAATTATTGCATCAGTGCATCCAGCAGCCAAGTGTTGAAGTGAATTTAGGCTCTGGCTGTTTGCTATCCATTGTTAAAGTTTGGTTTGATTTGACAATATGTTTTGTTCAGTTTGTTTAAATTGATACTTGTTTAATATCAGTCATCAATGTCATTTTCATAATGTAAATGATAGAAAACCAATAAATAAATTTCGACTAAGAATCGGCCCAAATATATTGGCAGCGAATATAAAGGATCTCTCGGACTGATGCCAGAATAATTGACCTTGATAAGCTGTACCGGTCCATCTCAAATCTCTGAGTGTTGACTGATAGAAATCATCCATCCCTTTGTTACTTTTGTGGTGTGGAAGGTTGGAAAATACTTCATCAAATGATATTCTTCCAACTGAAGAAAAAAAGTACTCAACAATTATTATTATTGTTTTTTAAATATTTCATAGGGATGAGATATAAAGATATTGTGTGGTTAAGGGTCTTTGCTCAGAGACCCAGGGTGGAGGCTGTGGGGATAAAACCAGAGCACAGAGCACTGCTCTAAGCTAGTAGGCCAGGGGCTCTTTAGAAACTCAACTAAGGCTCTTAATCACTTTGGCTAATTATTAGAACCATAGATATACAAAACAAAATGCATGTTTTGGCATATTCCAAACTGTCTCATTGTATTCCATAAAAAAAAAAAACAGAAATATATTATTTTTAATCTTTTTTAAGTGATGATTAACATGATTTCCAAAGAAATATCAGCAGCTCATTGAAAAATGCCTTTTTTCTCCTTTGGCATTTTTTCCCCTTAAGTTAAAAACCTAAACTTTGAAATGGTACAATGCTTGTTTAAAAATGACAAATCTTCTGAGGTTCATTTTTCTGAAATATAATTTATTTTTTTTTTTCTGTTAAGAAAATAAATCGCGCAATATTTTGTTGCTCTAAACGAGTTTTATTAGCAGGACAAAAGTCCAAAATGGCTCTTTGAACTGTAACAGTTGCAGAGCCCTGTGCATAGTGACGAGGCTAACACTCCAAGGATATAATTATGAGATCAACTGAGCCGCGTGTTACCAGCTAATGGGTTACATTAACTTTACATAGAAGTGGAGAGTTTCTATCAGCATGCTGATGATTTAAACGCAGCATATATTCCAATATTGTTTATGTATTTTTTGTCTGATGTTATACTGAACATCCCCTGAAAATATCAACATTTTCCATTTGAAATAAGGAAAATCTTTCTGAATATCTTCTATCCAAAGCTCCTGAAGTGGAAGTTTAAATTCTTTATGAAAAAAAAAAATCTCTAATGAGCCCTGATTATTATTTCTATTATTTGTAAAAGGGATTAAGGGTCTTTGCTCAGAGACCCAGAGTGGCAGTCTGTGGGAGTGGGGCTCAGAATCTCAGGATTCCACTCTAAGCCCTAACCACTAGGCTGCCACTCCCCTCCCATCATTATAATGACAAATTATTCATCTATGCTTGTTTATTTAGGAATGTTGACTTAAAAAAGTCTAAATAATTGATCATTAAAAAGTGTATTTATTCTAAAAATAACTGCTAGCTGCAGCCCTGTTCTCCATATAGGTTCTGACTTTGTTTCAATCAGCTTTTAACTCTCAGCGTTGATTTAATGAGCTTCCAGAGACAGCCATCTTGAATCTGGAAAAGTGTTAAATAAGAAGGTGTGTCCAAATTGTACTTATGATTTGACTCAGATGTAATAAAAAGATGACCCGGGGCATCGGAGCAATTACATCGATTGGAAGTTGCCATGTTTTGCATCCCTGGTTGTTTAATTTCCTTCCTGTTGATAAAGAACAATGTCTAAACCTGGTTTGTTGAAGTTAATTTGCTCTTCTATTGGTTGTTGCATGCAGGATTGCCAAACGAGCTCCTTTTGCTCCTCCCCTTCGCCAGCTGACCTCTCCAAAGATAAACCAGAGTTCTGCGTATTACTAATGACACTTTTTCATGACTTATCTGTTTGCCTGAAACACGACACTTATTGTAAGCTTGATAGCAGAGAACTTGGCATGAAAACCACATGCATGTCCTTTATGCTTTGTTTTGGTGAAGTAATGTTTTATTTATATATATTCACCCATCTTGGAACAATATAGACATTTTTCCCTCCATATTTCCATTTCTGCCACTTGCCTTTACATGCTTCTCTTATTTTCCATTTGTCGCTGTTTTTTTCCTCGTCTGTATGTTTGTCTCCTTCCTTTTTTTTTCTCCTCACTCTGTATTGCTTTAGGTATTTCTTTCCACCTCTGGATCCTCCCAGAGGGGGGACCAGGCACGGCCACCTGCTGCCTCCTTCCTCCCTCATAGAGCACTGTGATGCCGAGGCTGTGCAGCAGCCGCAGCCACTGGCTCTTCCTCACAGACACTCCTCCTCCAGGGCGCTGCTGTCCCTGCCAGAAGCTGAAGAGCAATGATTCAAAGTGTTTACCTTTATTAGAAAATGTAATGCTGTACTATGAAAAGGAAAACAAAGAATAAGGTCATTTACTTGTAATAAATTCTTTTCTTAAGCTTTCAAGGTTTTGTTTTTGTAATAAAATAAAAAATGGGAATAACATTTGTTTACTGTGGCTTATGCGGGATTTTAATATCTTAAAGAAAAAGTCATATTCAGAATAAAAACTTCTGAAAGTACTTTAAATAGGAAGTTATTACATATTGTTCAATAAATGACAATGTTTTTAAGTAAGATGATGTTATTGTCTTGGTTCTGTTAAACTTTCTTTAAGTTTTCAGTTTCATGTTTTTCTTTGTTCTCTAGTTTTATTGGTTTAATTCCTATTTTGTTGTGTTTTTGGATGTATTTGGCTTCCTATGTTTTTCTTTGTTGTCCTCTTGTGTTGGTTTCCTTTTCCTTAGCTCTTCTTCTAGAAGCCTCTGTTCTCACCTGCTCCCAATCAGCTCGTTAGTCCTCCCTTTGTTCACTCAACCTTAAATACTCTCCTTGTTCAGTTCCTCAGTGCTGGTTCCTTGTCTCTCCTTATCTTTCCCTGACTCCTCGTGTTTGTTTCCCCTGATGTCTCCGTGTTTCTGGTTACGTTTAACATTTTAAGTTGGATTTTGGATTCCTGCCTCTGTTACCTGTAATACATTCATTAAAGCTGCAAGAACTCGCCTCTGCATTTGGGTCCTCAAACCACAACCACAGTCATTTTCATTTGAATGTGCTTTAATGGAGGCATCCATGTTTGTCAAAGAACACTACTGCCACCTACTGGTTTGTAACGTCACGGTGCGGTATCGGCTGTTGATCAAGTCCCAGTGCTGTATCTGGTGTTTGTCACAATGCGCTATTATCCAGGTCATCTTGAAAACATTCTTCTTCCAAATGTTGGCTACATATTACGTGTTTTTTCTCTGGCCAGAAGTTTGATGGCAAATTCTCCCTCTTCAAGTTGGCAATCCAACGGCGAACGCGTCCGTGGAGGAATCGGAAAGGTGAAATAACTAATTTATTTCACTTTTACCCGATTTATTCCATCCTCCAACTGCCTACACGTGGGCATTGTCAGTTTCACTATAGCTCTGGTGAATTTCAATGGTGAAGTCCTCTGGAAATCTTCAATAATTGTTGTTGATTGCAGATGTGTCTAGTAGTTCCCGTTGATTTTGCTTGTAAAGCGGAGAATGGCGCTAGGCTTACCGCACCGTGACGTCACTAACAAGATGTCAGGAGTGAGGCGTTACTATATTTGCACTAAATTGAATCACTATAAACAATCATCCACTGATAATTTCTTGCTGACTGGACTTCTCCCTTAAATAAATACCTTTTTTGATCTTAACATGATTTTATTTATAACTCATATATGAGGTGTTTCTTTTTATTGCTCTCACAGTTTTTTATTTTTACTGTTCCCCTTTTATTCATCAAAACCAGACGCTGTATGAGTAACTGACTCCCAAACAGCTCAGTGGAAATGTCCCATGATTCATTAGACACACATTCCAAAAAAGTTCAAAAGCAATCCACTGGCCTGTAAAGGGAAACAGAAGACTTCACCTATTCAGCCAGGCCAACAATTCCCTTTAACGACCCCCCTTTTAAAGACATAGACAGGTATGGGGCATTACAGGCTAACAAAAGAAGCCAAACGACCCCCATTCCAAAGCGGTGGACCCGTTCCTCTGTTTCAATTTGCATGTTATCTAAATATAAACAAGGCTTTGTTGGACTACTGTATAAAACCTCAAACTCAACGCTATTTCTGACATTTTGAATTAAAAAAGCTTCCTTGATGGGAAGCGAAACGTCTTCAAACTTGGAAACAAAGTCCAGTGGATTGTTTTTTAACTTTTTTGGAATGACTGTGACCTGGATGACTGAGAATCTTCACCAGCATTAGACACACATGTTAAAACAGACCTTTAAAGCTGCTGAAAGTAACCATCCTCACCTGGGATCTGAGCAGATGGCATCTGGTTATTTTAAGGCAATTATTTATGAAAACATTTAGGAAAATGTTCGGTTGCTTTGTGTGATCATCCTTGTGAGCAGCCCTCTGTGGATGCTGTTCCCATGAGCCTGGTATTCTTCTCCACTGGTGTTCCTCTCCACTGTCGCCACATGCTCTTCTAGGAGGAGGAGATCCTGCCAAGTCATTGACTGGATGCAATCCTTGGAACATTTAATCGTTCTGACTGGATGGTTTGATTGAACTGTCTTTATAAAAATAAAATGTGTTTTAACTTGACACATAATGAACTGGAATTACATTGAGCAAGGCCAAGTTCACATGTTTGTGACATCAGCACAAAAAATAAGGGATCCTGGAGCAGGGGCGTAGGTTTGATTTTAACTTTGATAGGGACACTATTGGTCTGATGTCATTGGTCCTATGCAAAAATATGCACGCTCGTTTTTTTATACTTGACGGGAAGATCAGGGTGTATTTCATTTAAAGAGAAAAGAAGCATTTCTTGCTACATTTATACAATTTTTATAAGCACTACACTAGAAGCTGTTTATCAATGACTGTAGCTTAACTGGCTCTGATAAATGAGGAATTAGGACTTTTTTCCACTTTGAAAATGTTTGCTTTTGAAATTACCAGCGACTAGGACAGTAGGTAAATCTGTGCCTATTTAACAGAAGGTAGTCTAAATATGTCTGTTATATGTGGATTTATACTTTTTTTTTATTTTGAAGATATAGAATTGTGCAGAGGTAAATAGAGGTAAAACCCACTCTTTTAAATGTTCTCTTTGTATCATGAAACAAAGCGAAATAAAAGATTCAAGGGACGCCAAATAAATGCATTGTATTTACATGAGCCCTGGAACTAGAAGAGGAACTGATATTGAGCATTTCATATATTAACCTCACTCTCCAAGTTGTAAATCTAGGATGTAGTTACTCTATTTAACCAATTTCATAAATTGTATTAAGGGCTGAAACAATTCATCGGATTAATCAGTTATTGAAATAATGTAAAAAAAAAAAAGTAGTAATCAATTAATCGTTAACTGGAGTATAGAGACTCTAAAAAATGTCTTTAGCTCACAGAGCGACGCACTTAGAGCAGTAATTATACCAAAATTGTAAAATAAATAAAAATTTTGAATTTTGAACAAAACATATTTTTGTCTCAATATTTTCCAGCATTGCTGCAACAATGCTGTATTGTAAGTTATAAACATGTTATGCACATGTAATTGTTGGTAGGGACAAGTAGGTTGGTCCAAAATGTTGGTACTGTAGGGACATGTCCCTATGGTCCCTATGCAAACCTACATCCATGTCCTGGTGTGTCATCTCAGTCTTCTCACCTTGGGTTCATTTTTACAAACAGAAGGGCTCGTGGGAACTGGAGACTTTCTGCTAAGAAGAATATTAAACTTTTTTAAGTTGGAAATAGTGGCCTCTCTACAACTATCAAAGTTGATGAGAACTACAAGTTGATGGGAGATTTGAAAAGAGCAAAATCATTTCTGTGATAATAGCTTTTACTCATCACCAGAGGATAGTATTTTTGAAGTCTGTCCTTCCTTTCTGTCTTTTCCTACTATTTTTTTGCCATCTGTCATGAATTTGTTGAATGAATTTTTTTAATGTTTTCATTAATTTGTATGTTATCAATAATAAAAGAACATCCATTTACATGAAAAAGAGTATGAGCCTTTGGTTAAGCATCTCATACGAACTTAACACACTGAATTTTTGGGTTTCTTTGCAAACATTGGATTAGTTGTATGAAGAACTGAGGGTTGTAGCATTGTTTAGTACTTTTGGTATACATGATATACATATGATGAATAATTTGTCTGCTGCTTTATGAGTACCCCATAACTTTATGATTTATTTCCTTGTTTAGGTTGCATCATTTAGTTGGCCTCAATTCAGTTAGAATAAAAAAGAAACGTTTGCTCCCTTTTGGCAGCTGTCTAACCGGGCATTCCTGCAGCAGCAGAGTAGATCACATGTTTGGTAGGAAACAATATGCTTTGAATTTAGCTACTTGGTTGATTCCAAGAAAGTTAAAAAAAAAAACAATCTATTGGTCTTTGTTTCAAAGTTTGAAGACGTTTCGCTTCCCATTCAGGAAGCTTTTTCAGTTCAAAATGTCAGAAATAGCGTTGAGTTCGAGGCTTTATACAGTAGCCCAACAAAGCCTTGTTTTGCCTTAGACAACAGTGAAACGGATAAACGGGATTCCCCTTAGAATGGGTGTTGTTTGGCTTCTTTGTTAGTCTGCAAACCCACATACCTGTCTATGTCTCTGAAAGGGGGTCGTAAAAGGGAATATTTTTCCTGGCTGAACAGGAGGGTCGTCTGTTCCCCTCTAGGGGGTTTTGGTTGCGATGATGGCGTATTATTGCATTGTGAAACCTGAGTCCACCCCCTCTGTTTAAGGTTGGTTTTTCTTTCTTAGATGTTTATGTGTTGGTCCAACAACTCATTTACTGTATTCTTTATTCTCAAGTAAAATACCACACAAATATAGTATTTATTTTTTATAATTAGCATTATTTTTAGCATTATATTTTTTCCCCTTATTTATTATCACTTGCACTGGTTGTAATGATTTGTAGTATGTTTCACCTAGAAAATATTTCTTAATTTGGTTTAAATTTTATTTAACTTTCTTTTTTGTAATTAAAAATGTTGAAAGTCCTCATTCTGGATGGAGTTTATAAATGAATTTATTCTTTATTCATTTCAATACAATGAGAACAAATGGTCTATTTTCCAAAAAGCTCATAAAGTGCGGCACTGGTACCAACCTATCATATTTGGCCATTTCCGCCCTCTCTCTTTTTCTGGCCAATCAGATCATTTCAAATATTTAGGCCCCACCCTAAAGATATGACGCTGACGCGGGCTTCCTGTAGCGTCTGGGCGCCTCTTGTTTCTGCAAAGCAGAGCTCTGTTTGTTTGAAACGCCTTATTTTAGTAAATAACGTCAAACATGTGTGTTAGAGACAGACCAGCCGGAACTTAACTCCACTTTTCTGCGAGTCTGAAGAAATTTAAACGGCAAAACTCGACCGGGAGGAAGACAGTTTGCATCTCGGGCC